TCTTTGATATCAGTTCAAGTGGTTGCTCAGAATGTTCAATTAGCTGTTGGTTATTCTTCCCTAAAGTTGTATCTATTTCCTTACAATTAACATTTTCGATAGTAGATTTAACGTAGGTTTTTCATTTTTTGTATTTGCGATTGAATTTTTATCAATTTTTTCAAGCCAAACCATATTTTTCAGCAATTTATCTTGTAGATAATATACATCTTGTACAGCTTCGATCGCTTTTTGCAAATTTTCTATGCTATATTGAACTTTTGGAGTCTTTGGCGTACTGAAAATGAAATATTAAAAGCCATTTCAATATTTATGCCTGTAAATTGCAAAACAAGTCTAGCAAAGAGCAACTTAAACACTGCTACTGCATGGTGGCAACACTCTAATAATAATTGCCCTGGGCAATAACTATACATTAACATATGGCAATAACTGAAATGATGGTGGGCAATAACTAAAAATATACAGATTTACGTGCAGTGATTACCCACCGTTAAAATGACCGTTAGAAATCAAATTTTATCAGTTATTTTCATTGATAATGGAGAAAACACTTATAATTTCATCATGATTATACACCATTAGTTGAATATTAAATAACTTGCAAAAAAAATTTAACCTCTAAGCAAGTAATTTCTTAGTAAAAATGTTAAATTCTTTACTTTTTTAATTAAATTTTTCACCCGTTTTAAAAAAATACGCCATAACTTTTTTTTTTTTTTAGTGTTTCCTATTGTAAATTTTAAATATACTGTACATTGATCTCGGAGCCATCTACTTAGTAAATTCAAATGTAACTAGAGTGANTTGATAATGGAAAAACACTTATAATTTCATCATGACCATACACCATTAGTTGAATATTAAATAACTTGCAAAAGAAATTTAACCTCTAAGCAAGTAATTCCTTAGTAAAATTGTTAAAGTCTTTACCTGTTTGAGTAACATTTTCACCCGTCTTGACAAAATCCGCCATAACTGTATTTTTTTAGTGTTTCCTATTGTAAATTTTAAATCTACTTGTACATTGATCTCGGAGCTCTCTACTCAGTAAATTCAAATCTAACTAGAGTGATTCAAAGTCAGCACCTGACAATATTATTCTTAAAGCGGGCAATCACTACCAGTGGGCAATCACTCTCTGGTTTACCCTACTATCCAAAAATAAATACAGTTCTAACTTATCTCTAACAGTTACAAGACAATATTATGAAATTTTATTAGATATTTTATACTAATTGCGGTGATTACGACGGGCATAGACTTAGCGCTTTCACATTAGGGCGTTAGGAGCGCGACAGCAGCGCGGCAGCGGCGTTTTTATAATGTGAAGCAGGGATGTTTTGGATATCCATAACCGAAACCGGAATAATATTATTCCAATATCCGCAACCGTATCCATAACATCCCTAATGTGAAGGCATGCATCCACTGTCACATAGTATGAAATTTTCGGCAGCGCGTTTGTCGCGCTGCTAATTCGCCTAAATGCAAAAGCGCTGTTAGTCAAGGCTGTTCAACCCCAGGCCCACGAAAGAATTTTAAGTGGCAAGTGTGGTTTGAAAACACGCACCAAATTCAAAAATCACAGTAACTGAAATAGGAAACGTAAGTGGCCCGTCGTTAACAACTGAATCCAGCGTTTGGCCCGACTCTTCAGAAGGTTGAGCAGCCTTGGACTAAGTAATGTTAGCGACAGTTTTGAATTTCGAAATCGCTTCATGCACATTAGTTACATAAAAAACGCTGAAATAAAGCTATTTCGGAATAACCATTGTCACATCGCCTGTGTGTAATTTAGGAATGTTGCAATGCTGTCACGAAATTGAATCGATCATGAATGTTGCATTTTTACCGGCTCATATTGAGTACATACATCGAAATGAGGGGTGGCACGCCACCCCAACTCACGAGCTTTGTCCTTTTGAAGGCAATTTACATTATCTCCCGACATGTCCCTTGTGTCGGCGACCATTAGACACGTGCGCTCGCTATTTATTCTAGCTCCCCATCCTAGAACGTATAGAGCTCTACACAGAACAAGATTTATAAGCGTTGCAAGTCATGTTTGGGGTAGGGACATTGTGTCCTTGCCTAAAGAATGTTGGCGACCCTGAGTAAAGTCTTGCCACATCATAATCAGATCATGTTTGATGGCATTATATCGCCGCATAGAAACGCTGCTTGTTCCTAGGGGCTTAAAAAATAAAGCCCTATAAAGTCTTTCAAACTCGATGAAGATACTTGGAACAAGTTTTATGGATTAACGACTATTGAATTATAAAAAGACAGCAGAGTGACATCTTAAAAAATGAGAGACTAAACACCACACTAGATTCCAAATTGATATTTTGTTGTGTTGAAAAAAATTAATTGTAATGACGAGACGTAATTTTCAAGTCGTCGTTAAAATGTTGAACACAAATTATAATTTGTTTTTAATTACTTTAATCACATTCAAAATTACTACATTATAATAAAAACTGCTATCAAACCATTTGCGTTCCTATTCAAAATTTTCAGTTTGTGTAAGTTTACAACCATTTATTTCGGTTTCATTTAGTAGTTAGATATGTAGGTAGAGTAGTTAGTATTAACGTATGTTAAATACTCCAAACATTTATTAATAATAACTTTTTCTCTGTCCACAGAACTTTGTTGCGTCAAATAAATTCAGCTTCCTAGAGGACGCCAACGACGGTACATCCGATTAACACACAGAGTGCGCTAAATATTGCAATTATACGAGACTAGAGTGTAAAGTGTAAATTAACGAGTATCAAGTGTGTAAGTGCGGACGCGGCGAGCGGCGGCGAGCATGCCCGAGCAGCTCCGAGCCAGCCCCAGCCTTTGTTGCCCTTCCACTACCACAATTCCTTCGCTACTCTGAACTAGATGCCTAATGTATTTGCTCACATATTTCTATCAGTCGAAGTGCAGTAAAGGCTGGGGCTCATGATTTGTGACCATAATGTACTGATCGGTGTAAATTTTTCTATGGGTTTGTTACGTAATAGTGTTTTGTATGAACGGTTGCAGAATATAGCAGAGAGCAATAAATGCAAATGATTTACTATTAATTAATTCCATTTCCTACTGTTATTCTTATTATCGGTACAGGTGCTCTCCATTTTTTTGTGAATAATATTTCGTAATTCTATTATATTTTTACTACCATAGGGAATCTTATCTAATTTCTTTATTTTAGAATGTCTTGTGTTAAATATTAGTCGATTTAGATTTATTGTTAGAATGTTAATTGTATTATTTATCTTTACACTCAAAATTTGTTATCAAGCTCTACGATATTAAAGGCGCAATATTTACTTTAGTTTGCAAGTATGCATATTATATTGTGTGGTTGCCTTAATCGTAAAGAATTAGTTAATATGAAAATTTAAAGTACCTTGAAACAGGATAAGGGCCTGGTCACAAGAATATTTTACGGCGAAAAGTGGTCTACACGACTGGAATAGTTTTTAATACAATATTCTTATGTTTGGTACACCTCATTCTAATTTGAATTATAAATAAATTACCTTTTTACAACCATTTTGTTTTTTCTTTCCTTTAATCATCCTTAGTCCAGTTTTGAATTCAAGTCTTTACAACAAGAACTAACAGCTGTCTCAGAAATGATTATAAGAATAAGTAGAGAAGAGACAATCACGCAATAAAATTGATTTGTTGAAAACAGATTGACAACAAAGTGATCCTATAAGCCTAGGCGCAGACCATCGATTTTTCGGCCGATAGTTTAGTCGGGCAGTTTATCAGTATGCGCACATTACGCCGATATGATTTGGCCGACAAAATAGTTGAATGAGCTTCCCAACTGCCTTCTGTAAGTACTTTCTGAGATTTAGACTGCAAATTTATTGACATGGCTGGATGGAGTGTTCCAGTTTTTTGGTCATAACAAATTTAACTCAAGTTTTAGAAATTTGTGACCCCATGCTATAAGTTTTTACTATTGTTTACTATATTTCCTATAAATCTCTGTTCTTTTAAGTTGAAAAAAAGAACACTCGGTACAGATGCACATTTCCTTTTTTACCTTTTGATGTACGGAACCCTAAAAAAATGATTTTGTTTGATAGCAAAAAATAGTAAATATAATATTTTCCTATTCCTATAATACTCGTACTTTCAAAAAATACACTAACATAGTCCAAACCTCATCATGAACTTGACAGAAGTCTGCTATGAGGTCAAAAGTTTGTCTCATGGTCAGTGGACGTGTAAATGTACCTAATTTTAATGAGTTTCGTTTTTATTATTCCGGTCTAGTATCAATTTTCTTTAGAGTAGGCGCACACCGTTGATTTTTAGATGGCCTTATTAGATAAGGAAATAGTCTTCGAAAGCCCGGAGCCATTTTAAAAGACCTATCCAACGATACCCCAACACGATGGGGTAGAAGATGAAAAAAAAATCATCCCTATCTTTATATGCAGGGGAGCTACCCTAAAATTGTTTTTTTCAATATTTTATTTTACCGTTTGGTCGGCGTGTGATTAATATACATACCTCCACAAAATTACAGCTCTCTAGTGCCAATACTTCGGACAAATCCAAGCAAAGCCTCGGACAGGCTCAGACAGACAGACATCGAAACTATAAGGGTTCCTTTTCAGGACTACGGAACCCTAAAAAGTATTGATCTAAAAAAAATGCACAGCAAATCACAGGTTTCTGTGCTTGTTGAGTTTAAAAGCCCTACCCTAAGATATATACCTACGCATCTGACAGTATGCCTAATCGTCACCAGTCGTTGAAATTGTTAAGCCAAGCTTAGGCGTTTTGGATGCAACTACCTAAACATTTTACGCCCTTTGAAAATAAACTATGTGGAAAATGAAGAGTTCAATAAGAATCAAAACCATTTATTTGAAATATAAAACAATAGTGATAAAACTTATTTGAATATCATGCAAGAAAATAACCAATTTATATTTAAACATTTTTTTTGATGTTATTAATATTTTATGTTTAATTACGTTATATAATCCAATAGTAACTAGATGAAGAAGCTTTAAAGTTAAAGTTACACAATTCTGGCACTACTTATCATTAGAATTAGGTAAGTGCCTGTCTACTAAAATAATGTAAATCTTATTTCTAAAACAATGAAAGCTTTTTTTTTACTTTTTAGTATTTTTATCATATCCCTGTTTATTTTCAAGCATCCATAACCCACATTGTGTTAATAAACACAAACCACAAACACCATCTATGTACAACGACTACATTTTCCAACCAAGTACATGGCAGAGGTCGTCGTATACAGATATGTGTATCTACACTAGCTGCCGAACGAGCTAGAAACTCAAAGCGAGCAAATCAAGTTCTCAAATTTACAAAACTGCAAGCCAGAATTCCTTCATTTTTGTAAAATTGCCGTCATCAAAGCCTCTTTCAGCTTTTTCGTCATTTCTTCTAATATGTCTGCTTTTACTTTTAATTTTTGATTTCTATCTTCTAAATCTAAAACCAACTGTTCCATTTGCAATTCTTTGAGTTTCCTATTCATTCTAGATCTCTTGGACGCTTCGTTGTTCTTATCCCTAAGTTCTCTGTACTTCATCTCCTGGGTCGAGACGTTGGACGTGGTGTCGTCGATGCTACACGTCGAGACCGTGCTCTCCCGTCTCTTGGGCGGGCGGCCGCGGCGTGCCTTCTTCAGCTGCTGAGACCCCTCTAACGCCATTATCATGTCCTTTATTGGAATATTAGGCTTCTTAGGTTTTCTCTTGTTGTTGCGAGGCGTGTATTCCACATCAGGCGTGTAATCTGAATCTTCACTGCTGTGACGCCGTTTCCTGCTGCTGGAGTAAGGCTTTTCTTCGTTGTCTGATTCAACTTGAGATTCGCTGTTAGGAGTGATGGGCTGGTATTCCATTTTCGGAGACTTGATTGCTGGACTGAGCGATGTTGGCTCCAACTCCACAACTTCCGTCGGCCACTCACTGTGTGAAGTCTGTAACAAAAGGAAAAGATGTTTATTATAATTTTCTACGGTAATATTCTACAATTAGGGGGAGACAGGATATATCGAGATACTAATTGAATTGTCAAATTGATCAAAGTGAAATTTGTATATCGACTCTATCGCTTGTGATACAATGACTATCATATTACCCCACATACCCCTGTTACCCTGCTTTAATTGTTCGATAATACTTACGGTGTCTAAAAGTGGGCATTCCTCCTTCTCCAATTGCTCCACGTAGGTGACGATGTCCGGCGTGCTGATGACGTCGCCGGCCCAGGCCACGGTGCGCGGGATGCTCACCGACAGCCCGAGCCGCTTCTCCGCTTCTGGTTTCTTATCGGCCTCCTCTCCCAACTCGTTGCCAAGTATGAATCGGCTAACGGTAAAATCATTCTCCAGCTCCCCTGGTTTAACAGTCACTAATCTAGAATCCATTGTTTCTTCTTCTTCGATGAAGGGCAGTATGTTGTGTGTGGTAGTGTATTGTTTGCTGAACTCCTGGTGTTGTAAATTCCAGCCGTCCGGGTCCATGACTTGCACGGTACCCACGTCGGCCATCCTCTCCGCCACTAGATCCCCGAACACCACCGGCATGTTGTTGAAGTCCAGGGTTGGTTCCTGGTACTTGTTCTGATCGTAAGTGTCGACCTCTATCGAGGGCAACAGCTTGTCTAGTTGCACGAACTCGTCCGCCATTGGGGAGAGTGAATCGTGCGGGGTGATGCAATACATGCTCGCTTGAGCTGGGGAATTAGGGCCGAATGTCTCCCAATCTTGGGGTGAATACGGTGTGTGTAAAGTGTCGTTGTTGTGTGCCCTTTCTTTAGTGACTTTAATAGAATCTGAGAAAGAAAATACATTGCTGTAATCCTCTCTATAATAATTATAATCTTTACTTTTATCTTCGGAAGAAGTAAGATGCTTACCAATGGTCTGTACTTGTTCTTCCCTGGCGGGATCGAAGCACAACTGCTCCAGATCTTGGAAGAACCCGTAGTCCGACTCGTGATACATTGTGCTCTCGTACGCTGGTTCCGGTTTCAAAAATTCCTGAAAAGCAATTACATAATGTTAGTAATGATTCAGAGTTATTTCGGGATACTAAAAATAATCTTATAATAGCTTATTTAGAATTATGTTACATTTATTCTTAAGTACTCACAGAACCCGACGTCTGCCTTACCTCTGAAAAGCTGGTGCTTGACGCTGGCGCTAGCGATTGTGGCAACGGTTCTTTGTTTCCGCCGGTAATCACTCCGGTTGTGCCGCCGCCGTTCTCCTGCTGTTCCTTGTTTGACTTTAAATGATCTATGTCTACCACTTTCAAAAGACTGCGAGTTTTGTGACTCGTTTGCGAAAAAACCATATCTTTCGGTGTCTGAGTAGATGTACTGATTTCCGATATCGTCGCTCCGACTCGGACAGGTGATCTTTTGAGCAACCATTTTGAATAGAACTACAAAAAGAAATGATACGACGTAACATACTGTGCAGATCATATTAAGCATGATGGTGGTGATCGGTTAGCAGAACGATTATTACATCCAGTTAGTTTGTGTTCATTAATTTTTATTTTCTTGATTCTTATAGAATTCCAGATTAACTAGTTCATCTAGATGCAATAATCGTACTGGAAGCAATTTCAGTTGGGATATTTCCATCTGAAAATTTTCCAGAAAGTCGCTTACACCGCAAGAATTTTTATGGGACAAGGATGATGGACATTTTATAAATGGCAGAATTTGGAAAAAGAATTGAAATGGGTGTGATGGCTCTTGTGTGTATGATAAAATGTATAATGTATACGATATTGTAAAATGTATGTCTTGTTTGTATGTTATATGTAATACGATATTGTAAATTTTTATGTGTGTAATTTCATGGAATGTGGATGTCTTTTAGAAATAAAAAGGTGTTTTTCATGTTTTCTTGAAATGGTGATTGCATAAATATTAAAATAAAATAGATATTGCATATTTTATTTTTCTTTGTCATAATATATATTATTTAAGAATATTTTTATATGTTCATATAAATATCAGTTGCTGGATTATGCAATCAACATAATGGTCACCTGCCCATGATAACTAATAGTCCATGGCACCATCCAAAATCATGTAATCGAAAACAAGTAGAAAAGTAGACGATTGCAAGATGGCCGCGAGCGACTTCTGATTGATCAGTACGGTTTTCATATCACAGCCTTTCTACTTATTTTAATTTCCAACAACCAAGCTTAATTAGTATGTTAATATTGTATGTAATTGTAACTTACTGTGTAGGTTAGTTTTAGAAGCGTTAAACTACGCAGGTATCTTAATTACACTCTAATTAACTTGTAATTAATATCTAACGTTAATCGTAATTAACATAACTAAACTAATTGATAGGAAAAATGCTTAAAAAATATGGCTTAATGGAAGTTAAATGGGACTAGATTACTGGTACAGGAAATGTTATGTACCTTTAAAACTAGCTGCTCGATGTAATATAAACGTGATGGTGGTGTTCATTATGTCACGTTTTACATCTTGAGAGCAGAGTGCAAATGAGACTTATCTACTACAATTATCTACATCTAGAAATTATTATTGTAAAGTGCATTATCTGCATACTAAAGTATGCAGCTTGCGGCAACGAACAACGGCTTGCTCCTATTATTGATACCTGTGTAGAAGAATGGAAATGAAGGGTGGCAATGGATGTTTTTTTGAAGCATGCAAAATGAGATCATGAAACAATTGTATTAATGGATGGTGACATAGGGAATATAGGACAAAGAATGTATGAACAAGATATTAAAAAAACAACACAATTTTAAAGTGATGATAAATGTTATTCGTTGGGGATAAATTTATGATAATATTTCTGGAAAATAACAATGTAGATTATTATTTGTCAATTTAAATAGAAAAAAGCTTTAAAATGAAATTATTTTGTGTAAAATTATATTTTTGATAGGGAATTAAATTTTAGTCTATCAAAAAAAAATTTTTTATTATGTCATTTTAAGCTTTAAAATGACGTTATTTTGTATAAAAATTATATTTTTGATAGGGAATGAAATATCTATCAAAAATTATTGCTTTTGATTTTATTTTATTTTAAAGCAATTTTTATTTTCCCCGACTTTTTTATCATTTGAATTTGATCTACTTCTGTAAAGAAATAAGTTGTTAATTTTGATGACGTTTGTTTTTCTCTTCTCTTCTCTTGCTTTTCTTGATGTTCTGTAAAATAGAATGTTAAGTGGAAAATGGAGCTAACTGGTACTTACTTGATTGAACTCTTCTTGAGCTCCTAATGAAATCTTAGCTCTTTAGGCAGCTATCCAAGAAACGGTGCTGACTGTAGGCCTGAAACAAAAAAATAAGTAACTTTAGTAATTTATTTCACTACAGCTAAGCGTTCTGTCGCCATAGGAACTATAAAACCTATTCACGGATATTTAAATCGACGATGTAGGTAGTTATTATTAATATATCTAAAATGTTATCGTGGGTGGTGGGAGGTCGACCTCGATCCATTAGCGATTGAACTACGATAACAATTCCTACCACAGTCCATGAAAGTCAGTGTTTAATCAACTAATTGTAGGCATATTAAGTAGTATTTAAGTATGTTTATATCCGTTGTCTAGTACCCATAGTACAAGCTTTGCTTAGTTTGGGACTAGAAGCGCAGTGTAAAATGTCCAAGGATATTTATTTATTTATTTATTATTTATTTATATTATGAACTCTTTAATTTTTTGTTTCAGGTGATATGGGTACACTAAGTAGGTACCTACATCATAATTGGAATATCTATTACTATTATGATAATGATCCACACAAAATGGCGGCTATGTGATCATTGATCACTAAATGCTCAATGATGTACCAAACTAACTGGAAATTCTTATGATCATCACATACCCATCAGAAAAGAACTAGGTATTTCCAGTTTGCCTATTTGTCTATTCTTATTAAGATTCTTATGATCAGTTTTAGCATTGACATTTATACTTAGAAAATCCTTCAACTTAACTATCGAGAGCAGGCGATGGATGACCCTCAAAATAACGCGTGAATTTTCTAGAAAGCGAACCCATTTATGTCACATGTCAAGACTTGTATTTAGCAAGGAATCTTATGTCTACTTGCATAGAGTCGCAAATACTAGAGTTGTTGACGAGAAGCCAACGTAAGCTCCTCCCACATACAAAACGTGACTGAACTGCGTACTGACAAGTTTCAACTTGTTTCTTTTAGGGAGATCAACACAACACGCACTCAAAACTCGTCTTTATAGCCCCCAAAATACACCATCTTATCTTTCAAGGACCCGAAAGGTGCTGGTTACGTAAAATAAATATGGTGCAATAGTTAAAAATGCCAAGAATACAAATAAAAACTATTTAAAATTTACCAAACATTATGCTATTTGTACAAAACACCACTTCACTGAATGAAAATACATTAAAAACTAAAATATTATGTAGAAGTAAAACTAATAAGTACACGAATTGGTTGAAAACTCACCGAGTTACGAACATATAATGTAACGCCTGCCAGTCACAATAGCAAGTATATCACTGATTATAAATTAAAATTAAAAATTAGAAATATAGCAAGCGTGCGCGATTTTTTTTTTAAATAATATTCAAACCGCTTGAGTGTGTCGAACTTGCTTGTACTATGAAAGTTTACGGCGCGTAGCACACGTGTGGTGCGTCTGAGCTCAGAAAATATTGTGCAAGAATCGCGTTCAAGTCGCAGCTACAGTTTTCCTCAATCCCCTCTATTCGACATGTGCGTTCTAAAAATATCCACGCTTCGCTGCCATTGGCCGGGCCGCATGACGTCAACTCGAACAACCAATGCGGTGAATTAGTTTCGACAGTCACAAGACCATTAGCGTTTCCACATTGATTGCTATACATTTTTTGTTATAGCTGTATAGCGCGGGGATTCACGCCGCTCAAAAGAGGAGGAATGTACTTTTTGATAGTGTTTTTCTCTTGTATGACTCACACAACTCATCAGCAATGTAACAAACATTGCTTTGCAAAACAATAGAATGTTTTGCCAACTTTTAACTTTGAGATTTGAGTGTGAGACTCAAATGTCCAGACTATCAAGGATAAAATTACAGTTTGATAATATAATTTCTCCATATCGATCGAATTATCCTAGTTTAGTTTATATCACCAACTGCTACGTAACCTAGATATCTTAAGTTTTAAAAAAGTTATTTAACATTCCTTATTGTTTTTAAAGACACCTTACTTATTAAAATTTGATCATCAATGAATATGCAGGAACTTATCCAATTTAAATCAAATAACTTTGATTTTGCTGTTTTTTTTTTAATAATAAATCATTTATTTCAGACTTTCATCCATTGTTTGTTAGTTAGAATTTTTACCTGTTTTCTGTGTTTTCTTTGGTGAAAAATAATTCACTTTTGGAATTTTCAACGCTAACTTAGATTTGCCAGGCGTACAGGCTTAGTTTTCAATTATACCTAGTCCTATTATTATTTATCATAGCAAATCACCAGTATTCAAGGCCACATAATAATAGGTCAAAACACTGTGTACTACACATGTAGTAGGATACATATCCTAGTGATCCTATTTTTAGTACGGCTGGCCGTGACCATTGCCCGTAACGATTTGAGGCGCACATTTTAAAATAATTATAGGTAGGGGCTTAAAATTTTTTTTTGATCTAACGTTTAATATATTTTGCACCATTATGTTCCGGAAAAGGTCCATTGTCCTACAATAATTATGGTGAAGATTATACCTAACAATATTATGTTTAGTCATATTTTTCTAGCATAGATAATATAGGCAGACTGAAATGAGAAAACACAAGGAAACAAGGTAGGTACAAAACAAATATCCGTCTCAAGGAGTATGAGATTAGCATCTGATTAAGAAATCATTAAATAAGTAGGCCTGGATATTATTAGTTACATCTTTAATAGTAATCTAGTGAAACTTATTTTAATTAGGTAGCTATTGTAAGGAACCTACTAGAATTTTCATTACTGTACTGTAGCTCTGGAAAATGAAATTCATAATTATCTGTTTGGCCAATATAACACCTACCTACTGGTACCTAACCATTATCTATTTAATTATGATCCTATCTACATAAGTTCGTTTACTCATGATCCTGTCTCTGACTGAAGTTTTTAAAATCATGTCGGTCGTAAAAATATTTTTATCACCGCAGATCATTAACTTGACTCTTGCCCATTTGTTTTATTTTTAGAAATGACGTGTTTTTATTTTACTTTAAGTAATCTATCACAATCACCTAAATGCGCCATTTGCGCATAAATATTTGCACATCATTTGAAAATAATGAACAATGTTTATCTGTCCGTGGTGGTAGGTAGTAACATTACCTCATTATATTTGTCGGGTTTTTCACAGGAATAATACATTTCTAGATTTATTTCCAGGGAGGGATAAACCCTGTTACTAACTAGAAAAACAACTTATTTATCATTATAAGGTATTTTAGGACATGTGGTCTCTACTGCGGGAGCAAGACCATCTAATCTAATCCAGCGGCAAATGAGATTGGATAAGCTTTCTAGGAAATCGTCGGGAATAGTAGGTAGTGCCCGTTTTCACCATCAATCTCTAATTTTTAAGTGACCCCTATGGTAACACATAATATGAATTTTGTTGTCATAGGGGTCACTTAAAAATTAGTGATTGATGGTGTAAACGGGCATTAGACTCTTTTCTACCTACTCTACGGAAACTTGCGGCAAAAGCAACGACAGACAACAATTTTAATGGGTGTTCTTCTAACAGAGACTAACTTGGATGGCTAAAAGTTGTCAAGGGATGTCTTGGCGTTGGTACACGCAGGTATTTCTACATGGAATTAAACAAACCATGTAATGAAAATAGACAGACAGGAAGATAGAGTAGGTACAATAAGTAATTTCACAATCATAGGAAGTAGATTGAAGAGGTGAAAAACCAAAATCAAAAGTTTTAGTCTCATCAGGCAATGACTGGCAGTAGCAGTGCTAACAACAAGTCTCCACAACACAACTCAAGTTAACGCGGTTACTTATGTGAACGACCTTCACCGTCATCGTGCCAAGTGGCAGACACAGACGTATGAACGTATCGATCTAGGTTGGCTCTACGTAGGCAGGATTCATGCTGCGTCATCACTCCCCCAATGGGAGCCCCTCGTTGGCGCCGAGGCGCAAAGATAATACCATATCGGAGTGACTAAGCGCTTTTCACTTACATCACCCGCGCGCGACCAATCGCCTTTACAAGTTACAAGTCTAGATTGTTAACGCGCTAGAATCCGCTAGATAATGTTGGTATTCGTGACAAATCAATAATTTCGATTTGAATATGCTGGCTGCTGCTGTTTATGATACATATTACACATCCAATAAACGCGTGGTTTTAGTTTTGAGGTTCTCGAGAGCTGGATCTAGATAGGATAAAAGGGTTGCATAAATTAAATCAAAAATCCTGGAAAACATTTTCTATAGCGTTTCCCATCAGAATTTCATCATCCACACAATGTTAGACCAGTGCAGACTGGATAAGTTTGGTTAGGTAAATACAGCATGTTAAGATAAAACCAAAAATTGTCAATCTCTACAAACTTTTAACTAACTGCGTAGTTGTTATTGAAAACCCGTACGAAAAACAGTTATTTTGGAAACGTGCCAACAACCCATCTCAATTTCATGGAAACGCTATTATAGGCCTACGTTTGGAAAATTCACGATTTAAAGGACCTAGAACGGCATTTTGGGTCCATTTAATACCCATTTATGATCACTACTTTCACGTGGAACCATCTCTGGGCCAATATCCTTATTACGGCGGAATTAAACCCAAGCAAAGTTTAAGGAAAATCCCGCAGAAATTGGCTTTTACTTTCTAAAAGTGAACGTGGTATGCATAAATGAATTCATTCCAAGAAGTTGACGTGTCGATTTTGGTTGACACAAATTTGGATGAGTTCCAAAACATTGTAAAGAACTGTTGTTATTACTAGAATATAGTTTTAGGTTTTTGTTTACAATTTTCGCAGAGAAGGTATTAGATTTTATCAGTAGGCTTATCTTATTTTTATAAACACTTAAAATTATCTTGCTGCGACGCAAATTCTGTCCAAATTGAATACTTAACATGGTAGCACAATAAAAACTGTCAATTAGAACAACAAGTAAATAACTCGGAACAGTAGACGGTCTTAATGCTGGGAAGGTTTTCTTCCAGATAACCGGAGGAGAAGACAGAAATCAAAAGGATTATGTAGAATAATTGTATTGAATTTAAAGTATGATAATTTTATTCATCTTTCTTTGTGGACATGAGAAATTGAGAAGACATCAAGCACGCATCAAGTCAACGAACCGTATGTTTTGAATTGGTAGGTAGGTATTGTTTTACCTGCTACTAAAGTTGAGTTAATATTCGTCATGCTCATGCTTGTCGCTTCGTTTGAACATTAAGATAAGACGCAAGTATAAGTTGCGTATTGGCAGCAGTTAAAGAAAAAAAAACTTCATTGATAAATTAAACACAATGTTTATTGAGATATTACAGATAGTGCATGTCGCCCATTTGCGACGACAGTGTGACATCTTCAATTAGATTAACATAGGAGATGTCACACTGTCGTCGCAAATGGACGATGTGTGATCGAGATCGAGCTAATGGAAACAGACAATGCTAGCCTGAATATGGATACGGGTAGTATTAACTATTAGCTGATTGAAAAATGCTGAAGATACTGAGCTGAATCAGGCAACCTGGAGTCCCACCATATGGGTAGCTACGTAATGACTAATTCAATTCTTCAACTGATGTGGCTCATCCTGGCAATACTAGTGTGAATACATACTTAATCTTCTTATTACGCAGTTTCAAGAACTTCGTCGTTTTCATCAAGAGTAACTAAAATAAGGGGTCGAAGGCCCGTTGTAAGTTTGTACCCATTGGAAATCGCGTTAAAAGTTAAAACCCGATTCTCAAACAAATCTAAAATTAGCTAAGACCAATCACAGGAAAAAATCTATGTTTGAATGTGAATTAAGTTTTCAATGTCGTTTTTTTCCGGCTCGAAGAGGTGAACGACATGAGAAGTGTAAGACGTGGCAAATGTTACTCATTGTATCATAATCTTAGTATAATCCGCGCAAAATGATTTAGCAGTTTGTAGTTTTGAACAGGTATGAATAGAATTTTGAACAAATTCTTGATTTGGGGATGTGTATTGTGGGCATTTGTGGGCTTATGGCCATCTATCGGCAACTATCGGCCATCATCACTTTAATGTGATGAAATAGGGAAATACTGTACCTATCTAAGTATACCATAATAATGATTCATGTATTATGTCGGTATATTATGACTTGATTGATCAATCATTATATTTTAATCTTCGGTTATTATCTTAGGAATGACGTCATAACTTATTACTTGGAAGAAACTTAATAGATAATATCACGTTATCAGACAGTAGTAGTGCTAAACAAATTATTGAAATTATCTAGTCTTTGATAAAAATACCTATCAACTCTTGACAATATTAAATCTTAGCTGGGCCCGATTACGATACAATACAGTTGTTGTCTAAAGCGACATCTAGCGGTAACTTTCTGAAACTCATCAACCTTTGATTCGAACTAAGAAGTGCTAAATAAAATTACCAATTCACGTGTTATTAATTTATTTTATTTATTACAAAAATGAAATTGAGTCATACATTTGCACTCTTTTAATTAGAATTTAGACTTGTTTTGAGTTTTCGAAAGGATACCGGAAGTAGCAATTTGGCCCGCGAAATTCTTAAAAATTTTTTTGAAGTTTTACGTGCAGACGACAGAACATCAAGTTTCAATTTTATTATAATAGGTATGCTTAGGTATGTAGTACTTCATCGTAATTTTAATAAGTTATTTTACAACAAAAATTACTTAGTCTGATGTGCTGTTGACTGTAGGTTCATTACATAGGAAAAGCAAAGATACTTACATTTTTATGTGTCTTCTACAAATCACTGTCTTAAACTTCTTAACCTTGTCGGTTCTCTGACACAAGTAATTGATGCGACGCAAATTCACCTGAATTTGCTTCAAATTATGCGTAGTGCCTGTATACACTTTATTCAACAAAATATTGTTTTGTTGTATGTACGCGTATCTCATGTTAAAACTTACGGCGGACTTTTCTCTCAATCACTTACTTTACTAATCAGATTTGCAAAGTAATAAATCCACCTTGACGGCCTTAGTAACTTTCAGTTAATAAGACCAAGTTTTAAATAAAAGTAAACTAAAAGAACTCCAGAAGACTGTCTAGAACAATCAGTTGCGCTAAAAATTTAAGTTCAAAGGTTTTAAATATTTCCAATGCTTTTTACAACCCAAAGCAGCAGCAAAAGAAACTGTTTACTAGTAAACAAAAACCACGTAATTTCTGTAAAATTGCCAATAACACGTGTACACTTATGAATGTTTCCGATGAATGATACGAAAGAGAATTCAGCACGAGATTTTAGCACAGTAATTTTCTGATGCAATACTTTGAAACGTTCCTTTCTACGTAACGAGAAATTAACTGTAGCTTAATGTTACATTGATTATTGCAGGAACCAATTTCAATGTTTTTTAGTATCTTAGTTTATTTGTAACGATATTTTTTAAAATATCGTGAAACTTGGGTGAAACCACTTACGTGTTTTTACTTGAACGATGAAAATGGTGTTTAGGTAGCGTGTAAAGAAACATGAGATGGCTGATCCAATGTATGATGTCCATCTCATTCAAGGTTGTGCAAGAGCTAAGAAGTGTATTATTTGCACAAGAATAAAAAAAATTGATGGATTTCATCTTTTTATTTTCTATTTATCATTGCCTGCCAATGGTTTTATCAATACGATTAATTAGTGAATTGAAGGTAAGATACCTACAGGGCATAGCTACAGGTTGTCCTAAAATAACAGAGAGCAGAAATAACAGGAGTGGAACTGACAGGCAATCCCCTCNACATTGAGTGGTGGAGACTGGAGATGGACCCAACCCAACCCAAGATACATCGAACAAGCCTCAATTATATCCATAGAAAAGTTTACTATTTGTAGTAACATACTTAGTTGTACCGAAATTGGCCTCCGATCGATACAGTGTGTGTGAGGTGCTAATTTTGAGACACCTTATTTAGAGACATAGACTGAGCCCCGATTACGGTAATTTTTAACGTCTCCAATCCAGACGCGCTTCATCGATTCTGCGATACGATTGGTCAAAACACAAAAAAAAACAGCGTACGTCAGCTGTTCAATAAAATGTTTCAATATCAACGGATCTGAAAAACATTTTGTCATTAAAATTGTTTAAAATCGTAACCTATGGCTGTATAGCGTAATGCCTTTTCCTACAAAAGGAAAGAGTAAAAAAAAATATTGTCAGTCAAATTTTCTGTCATCTTCGTTGCTTTTGCATACATTTTTTCACAATATTTTCCGTGTTTCTGGAAAAAAGAAGAGATTTCCTTGGTTGATTATTAGCAATGCTCTTGTGTGTTCTTAAAAGTAGCACTGCTGCTTGTGATTAGCTTGTACAATTTTGGTTTTTGTTGTTATTTTGTGCACCAATGGTGATAACATTTCTGCTGATATTGCAATGTCGTTTTATCTTTCTGAGAGTGTTTAGTGACACCTTAAAAACTATTTTGATTTGAGCAAATACATTACACTGCGAGATTTAAGGTAAGTACATTGTTTTGATCATTGAAACTAGTTTTCTATGACCTTGAAGAGATATTGTTAGCTCTAGGAATGATCAGTACTAAAACGGTACCAATGGGCCGACCGACTTCACAAACCCAAGATTTTGAGTTTTTTTTTATTCTTTCGGTGCCTAGTAGAAAATCCATAATGTTGTACAGGTTACTTTTTTAAATATAGTATATAACACAGTCCAATGATACCTTAATGTGCAAATGTGCCTATTTTATAAACATCTGTGACTGTTTAAAGATTCAGTACCAATTACTTCAATAGGCACGTTATTTTACTATGATAATATTGAAATTGTTATTTGAAAACAACACATTTTACACTCTAAATTAATTGTTATATATTTTTTTCAATATAATTATCATAAATCACATTATGTAGAACTGTAATTTATGGATAAGGTTTATTTGTGATCTACTACGTAATGTAGTTAAATTAAGATATAAAAAATATTTCAAAAAATTAAAATGTACATTTCGATTTCGTGCAGTCTATCATAATTGAATTCTTGATAACGATGGTTGCTTGACCTTCATATACTTGTTTACTAAGCTGAGTCGCAGACCACTGTAGACATGATAGTGGCAAAATAACATTATTCAAAGTTATAAAAAAATCAACAGAAATACAATGAAATATTATGTAATTTTCAGATTTACGTAAAGGTGCTCAATATAAAATCAATATTCATCATTATCACATTAAAATTTATTGTGTCACACTTCACATAATTTTGTTGTTGAGAGTTAGGCTATTTCTTATTTAGAATATCTTCAAATTCAAAACAATCTACGAATAAATATTTGCATTCTAGATTGTAGATACAGTATGACCCTAATAGAGGGGATCGGGGATGAAGTGATCCAGTTCGTGGGCGTGTTGCTGGTGGCAACGGTGGCCACGCTGGCCTGGTTGTCCACCAACGCTCGGCCCGGCCGGTACCGAACTGTGGTCGTAATGCGACCCAGGCCACATCATCCTGTCACAGTTAGCTTCCGAACCAGTAAGTCTGTTTATGGTTTCCAGTTAAATGCAATTGTTTTGCTACTATACCCTTTTTTTACTTTTTTGAAAGACTTTTTTTTTTTGCTCTACTGTATGCCATCAATGTGTTTTGGATCAATAAAAACATGAATCCAAAGGCACAAAATCAGTCTGATTTGTCGAAAAGGAAAATAATGACAATCTAATGTTTTTTTGACCATCCATGTCCATTGTCCATATTCCTGGCTTACTGGTTGCTTTTGTCATCATTTCATCTTAATATTCAATATGTAAACAAGTGAATGGTAAACAAACAATGTTGTTAATTGCAGGGGCTAGCTTCATGATCGCTAACACTCCGGTTAGCATTTCTCAACAAGCCTCAACAGCAGAAACTATTGGTAATTAAATAACTAGCGTCTTTTTCAATCAAAAACTGATACATAGTATTTTTATGTAGTTGTTGCAATAAGGGTTTCCTTGATTGCGCTCACAAGTTAGCGCCATTGTCGAGTAAGGCCCTGTCACAACTCACCAATAGCGCCCTCTGATGAGCGGAATAGGAAATACAGAATTTGAGCATGCTTTTAGATATAATTAGCTATTCATTTTAAACCACTTTGTCATTTTTAACACTTACCAGTGACCCCGGGGGCGATCGAGGACTCTAGAGACGCTTCTCGGGTGATACCTCTGCAAGAGATGGACAGCATCATTGATGCAGACATGGCCATGATGAACAATAACCGCTTGCACTTCTATAGGAGACTGGATGGTCAGTAAAACACATAATATTTCCTTAGATTAAAATTCCTATCAAGTCACCAGAAGCAATCTATTTTTCGCGTTTTTAAATTTAAGTTTAAGATGCAACTAAATTTTACCAACAACAATTTGAGTAACCAGTAATATTCTAATGCAACTGCTCTATTCTATTCATATTCTATTCTTTATTCTAGCTGCTCTCGTGAACCCGGGGAATGTGCCAGCTATATCTGATTCAGCAAGTGAAGACAGCGAGACCCAAGAGGAGAGTGAGCCAGCCAGCAACGATCAGATTCGCGAGATGGACAGCATTGTCAACGCCATGGAGGCTGACGTCACCGCTCGTTGTGACTTCTTCACCCGCCCAAACGGTAGGATAATACTGACACTTGTCTAGCTATAGCTGACTGCGAGCGAAGACGACAAGACCCAAGAGGAGAGCGAGCCAGCCAGCAACGATCAGGTCCGCGAGATGGACAGCATTGTCAACGCCATGGAGGCTGACGTCACTGCTCGTTGCGACTTCTTCACCCGCCCGAACGGTAGGATAATACTGACACTTGTCTAGCTATAGTTGACACGGAGAGTAAGGACTACGAGACCTAAGAGGAGAGCGAGCGAGCCAGCAACAATCAGATCCGCGAGATGGACAGCATTGTCAACGCCATGGAGGCTGACGTCACCGCTCGTTGTGACTTCTTCACCCGCCCGAACGGTAGGATAATACTGACACTTGTCTAGCTATAGCTGACTGTTGAGTGAGGACTACGAGACCCAAGAGGAGAGCGAGCCAGCCAGCAACGATCAGATCCGCGAGATGGACTATGGACAGCATCGTCAACGCCATGGAAGCTGACGTCACCGCTCGTTGTGACTTCTTCACCCGCCCGAACGGTAGGATAATACTGACACTTGTCTAGCTATATGTAGTTGACACGGAGAGTGAGGACTACGAGACACAAGAGGAGAGCGAGCCAGCCAGCAACGATCAGATCCGCGAGATGGACAGCATTGTCAAAGCCACGGAGGCTGACGTCACCGCTCGTTGTGACTTCTTCACCCGCCCGAACGGTAGGATAATACTGACACTTGTCTAGCTATAGCTGACTGCGAGCGAAGACGACAAGACCCAAGAGGAGAGCGATCCAGCCAGCAGCGATCAGATCCGCGAGATGGACAGCATTGTCAACGCCATGGAGGCTGACGTCACCGCTCGTTGTGACTTCTTCACCCGCCCGAACGGTAGGATAATACTGACACTTGTCTAGCTATAGTTGACACGGAGAGTGAGGACTGCGAGACCCAAGAGGAGAGCGAGCCAGCCAGCAACGATCAGATCCGCGAGATGGACAGCATTGTCAACGCCATGGAGGCTGACGTCACCGCTCGTTGTGACTTCTTCACCCGCCCGAACGGTAGGATAATACTGATTCTTGTTTATCTATAGGCTATAGCCTACAGCGAGACCCAAGAGGAGAGCGAGCCAGCCAGCAACGATCAGATCCGCGAGATGGACAGCATCGTCAACGCCATGGAGGCTGACGTCACCGCTCGTTGTGACTTCTCACCCGCTCGAACGGTAGGACCATACTGATACTTATTTATTTTTAAACTTCCGTGATGTATGCGTGCCTCATTTATTTCTATTTGAAGTAACCACATATCGTCAAAGTGCATCAGCTAGTTGATCCGGTTCGAAGGACCAACGAAATGTAATTTATGAGGATAATGATGAGGGATGGGTTTACTTCAAATAGTGCTAAATAAAAACTGAATTGTTGTGTGTATTAGCAATACACTGATTAATTGCCTTTAAAACGACTTAGTATTAATGATAAAGTGTATAAAAAAGAACGTACAATCATGATTCAACCACTCTCAACTTTTTCTATTACTAGCTCTCTTATCGTATCGTTAAAAGCATACAATCAATTCAAGTTTTTATTTTGCTGTTCCAGAAACTAACCCTGCAGTAACAGCTGGTGCCAAATCTGGTAAAGATGAAAACGCCTCGTCGACCGCGTCCAATGGAAACCCCGGAGAAGCTTGTAACAATGGGAGTGAGAGCCAAAACGCAGGCGCCGACGCTTTGAAAAAGATGGAATTGGAGAAGAATATGATTATAATTAAATTGAAATACCTTAACGACACGATCAAAGAAGTTAAGGGCAGTTTGGATGAGCTGCTTAAGGATTTTAAATTGTAAGTTTTGTCAGCAAGTTTCACATGCATGTTAAGTACCCGATTTCGCGACACAACACAACATATACTTAATAGTCACAACAAGATCCTCTACAAACACATTTAAAGAAATAGCGAGTCACTACTTCTTCTGCCTCGTCTTATCCCGTTACGTGGGGTCGGCTTTCCCAAACATGCGCCGCCATTTGATTCTATCTTGAACGTCTTGTCTATGGAGTTCCTTGTCATAGCGAGTCACTACTAGCATGCAAATAAAATGCTTATTCCTGCCTACAGCTTTAACCTTATTTGTATCCTTACAACGTGCCACTTCTATTACGTAGGTCCCTTTCATTTTACTTTCGGTACAGTTGTTAATTTTTACGATGCGGCTCACGTACGAGCCTAGTGACAATCTATTGCCATACGCCAGCCGCACATATTTAAAATGCGTAATGGGTAATTAATATCACTGCAGCGAGTACTAAATCGTCATCATTTCAGCCATAAGACGTCCACTGCTGAATATAGGCCTCCCCCAACGATTTCCACAAAGACCGGTTGGTAGCGGCCTACATCTAGCGCCTTTATGAGATCGTCGGTCTACCTTGTGGACTAAATGCTATTCTACAGTGCTACTTTTGTTACTATGAATGAAAATAAAATGTGACCTTCCTAGGCGTCACTTCTCAACCGAGCTACGGGCGGAAAGCCGGGTGCGCCTGATCTTCAACGGGCGCGTGCTGACGGACGACGCGGCCACGCTGCGCGCCTGCGGCCTGCAGGACCGCGCCGTCGTGCACTGCCTCGTGCACCCCAAGCGCGCCGCCGCCCCGGTGTGTATAGTAGGACATTTATACAGGGTATTTGCTGTGGCCTGAGGGACCGTGCCTTAGTGCACCGCAAGCGCGCCGCCGCCCCGGTGCGATAAGTCGCGATTCATAGGTCACTTATTGCGGATCACGTGTCCCGCTGCATACAGTATGACATGATTAGAGATGGGTTTGTAGCCAGCTAGTTTGGATAATAACTGATTATTATCTATTAATAGCCATTATTAGCCATCCATTGGCTAGTAACCCTGCTATTAATAGTTTCTTACGTTTTTTTTTCCACCTTTAAAATCAAATCAATATTAAAATCAAATATTACTCAAAGAAACAAAAAAGAACTAAAATATTAAAAAACATCAATGTAATTTATATAAACGACATTGTAGTTAAAAAAGAACATCTAAATATATAAAAGGAGAAACTGACTGACTGACTGACAGATCAACGCACAGCCTAAACGACTAAACGTAGGCACTTGAAATTTGGAAGGGACGTAGCTTAAATACCGTAGAGGTGCAATAAGAAAGGAATTACCGAAATTCCCAAGGGAACGGGAATTAGGGGGAAAATATTTTTGTATGAAAAATCTAAACCGCTTAAGTTAGACGCTTGAAATTTGGCATGTAGGTACATTAGTAAACTTAAAGCCTAGTTACCACAAGGAATTCCCGAAATTCCCACGGTAACTGGAATTAGCTGGAAAATCCTTTTGTATGAAAAAAGTAAACCGCTTAAGTTAGACGCTTGAAATTTGGCATGTAGGTACCTTAGTAAACTGAAAGCTTAGTTACAACAAGGAATTCCCGAAATTCCCACGGGAACGGGAAATAGCGGGAAAATCCTTTTGTATGCAAAATCTAAACCGCTTAAGTTAGACGCTTGAAATTTGGCATGCAGGTACCTTAGTAAACTTAAAGCTTAGTTACAACAGGATTTTCCAAAATTCCCGCGGGAACGGGAGTTAGGAAAAAACATTTGTATGAAAAAATCTAAACCGCGTAAGATAGATGAAGGGGGTAAAACGGGATCCACGCGTACGAAGTCGTGGGCGGCCGCTAGTGCTTAATAACAGGCGATACTAAAAAAATACATAAAATACCCAGAAAAATGTCAATAAATCATAAAAAACTCACATATTATTTGACTTTTTTTGTCGATAAAAATAGGTTTAGTAGTTCCGCCTATTTTCATATGTGCACTTTCTCAAGACTCATACTGTACTAGCGGCCGCCCGCGACTTCGTTCGCGTGGATCCCGTTTTACCCCCTTCATCTATCTTACGCGGTTTAGATTTTTTCATACAAATGTTTTTTCCCGCTAACTCTTGTTCCCGTGGGAATTTTGCAATATCCTGTTGTAACTAAGCTTTAAGTTTACTAAGGTACCTGCATGCCAAATTTCAAGCGTCTAACTTAAGCGGTTTAGATTTTTCATACAAAAGAATTTTCCCACTAATTCCCGTTCCCGTTAGAATTTCGGGAATTCCTTTCTTAGTGCACTTCTACGGTACCTAAGCTACGTCCTTTCCAAATTTCAAGTGCATACGTTTAGCCGTTTAGGCTGTGCGTTGATATGTCACTAAGTCAGTCAGTTTCTCCTTTTATACAATATTTAGACTAGCGGCCGCCCGCGACTTCGTACTCGTGGATCCCGTTTTACCCCCTACATCTATCTTACGCGGTTTAGATTTTTTCATACAAATGTTTTTTCCCGCTAACTCCCGTTCCCGTGGGAATTTTGCAATATCCTCTTGTAACTAAGCTTTGAGTTTACTAAGGTACCTGCATGCCAAATTTCAAGCGTCTATCTTACGTGGTTTAGATTTTTTCATACAAATGTTTTTTCCCGCTAACTCCCGTTCCCGTGGGAATTTTGCAATATCCTCTTGTAACTAAGCTTTGACTTTACTAAGGTACCTGCATGCCAAATTACAAGCGTCTATCTTACGTGGTTTAGATTTTTTCATACAAATGTTTTTTCCCGCTAACTCCCGTTCCCGTGGGAATTTTGCAATATCCTCTTGTAACTAAGCTTTAAATTTACTAAGGTACCTGCATGCCAAATTTCAAGCGTCTAACTTAAGCGGCTTAGATTTTTCATACAAAAGGATTTTCCCGCTAATTCCCGTGCCCGTGGGAATTTCGGGTATTCCTTTCTTAATGCACCTCTACGGTACCTAAGCTACGTCCCTTCCAAATTTCAAGTGCTAAATTTGTAAACTATGAAGGGATATGTTTCATCAATAGTATAACATTAATAGCAGGGTTACCATCTGAAATCGGCTATTATTGGCTATTAATGGCTAATAACTGCTTTTAATCCGTTATTAGCCAATTGCTATTAATCGGATTATTAGCACTTACCCATCTCTAGACATGATACATAGGCTGCCTGCTGCGGACTCGCGATCTCCATGCGTATAACAATATACAGCGCCTGCTATAGACATACAGTGGAAAATGACGGTGCCTGCTGCGATGATGATGCGCGCCTACGAGATATTACGGGATCGTGGCTTAGTACACCCCAAGCGCGCCGCCTCGTCTCGGTGCGTACTCATATAGTAGGGACTTGATACACAGTGTATACAGTAGCCCGTGACATACAATCCGCCTGCTGCGGTCCTAGTACGTGACTAACGGGGCGCCTGCTGCGGACCATGCCACCCCGGTTGTTTCTAAGTGACACTTCTCAACCGAGCTACGGGCGGAGAGCCGCGTGCGCCTGATCTTAAACGGACGCATGCTACCTAGTGACCTAACTGACAGAACAGAATAAAGACAAAAACATCGAACCACTTACATTTATAACACGACATTGTCAAAATCGCAATCACGAAGTCATTGTTTTTTTTTTATGAGAAAGAGTACATAATTAACCTTTCTCCAAAATTGATAGTAACAGAATCCCCTTGATTATCCATTAGCACCCGTATACAAGTGACATCGGTTATAATTTTCCAGCGGGTAGACGACGACAATGCAACTCCGGGAACTGAAGCGACTACAGGAGGCGGGGTCGAGGGGGCGGCGCCCGAGCGCTCCTGGGACCTGGAGAACATACTAATGACTCTCGTCTCCATCGCACTCACCGTCGTGTGGTTCTTCAGGTAATGAAAATAGGGCTGGAAGATGGTTCATAGAGGCGAGAATCCTTACTTACTAATGCAGACTAAAGCCTGGTCCGTGAGCACGTAGAATTTTGTGATGACCCCAAGCTACCCATCCTTATCGCTCGCGCGTAATTATATTGCTGTCGCGACTGAGCGACGCGCGCCCGCAGTGAGTGTGCGAGCGCGACTATTGAACAAAATTCTACGTGCTCACGGACCAGGCTTTAGACTAACAAAACATTTACGCGGCATTTAGGTGTGAGTGTGACCTTTATGAGACGCGGGCCGCGTTTCTAGGTAACTATAGGTCAGGACACTGGTTAATAAAGGCGAGAATCTCACTTAGTAATGCAGAGTATCAAAAAAGTATTGCCGCGACTTTTAAAGCTCTTTCAAATTAAGGTTCGGCCAAACCAACTCGTGCAGTGTACGCGATGGCGATCAGATGTCGTGTATGAATTTGTAGCGATAAGTTCACATCAACGCGTCGATCTATGCACACGCAGTGATCGCTAGCGCCGTAGCGACTTACACGCGTTGGTTTGGCCGAAACTTCAGACATTTTCAGCTGGACATCAGTCTTGCGTTTATAAGACCGCACACTTAACTGTTGGTAATTGTAATTTTTTAACGTAGTTGTTATACAATTTTTAATTCTGCAAACGCACGACAGACGTCCTTCTAACTAAAACGTCTAATTTGAAAGAGCCCTTAGGTGCCTTTTATGAGACGCGGGACGCGTTTCATCTTGGTCTCGTACGATTGTCCCTCGTTAATGTAAATATGCCTTTAAAAATTCCCTTTTTGATAGTGACGAGTTTTTATAATTGGCTGTCTTAATCTGAGATTCAAAATTAATAAAGTTCACCCTTAATAGGTTATGCACCAAGTTCACAAAGCAGTGTCTTACGTCACGGGCGCCATATTGTTATTACTAATGTCTTAGCATAGACAAGCGAAAAATCGTGAGTTCGAATCCCACCTAAATCAGGCGATACTTTCGAAAAATCACGTTCATGTATGTTTATCTCGCAGCTTACGGCCAGAGATCATGATTCCATTGCGCCGCTATCACCCAACGTTCTAGGCGTACGAGTGTGAATGCGGCGGCGATATCGCTCCAGCGCGGGGTAATAGATGTGCGAATATCTTTATTGTTACAAAGGGTCTACTCTGCCACGCAATGTTCGTATCTAAAGCCTGGTCCGTGAGCACGTAGAATCCCGTCCAATGACCCCAAGCTACCCATCCTTATCGCTCGCGCGTAATTATATTGCTGTCGCGACTGTGCGACGCGCGCCCGCAGTGAGTGTGCGAGCGCGACAGCAACATAATTACGTGCGAGCGACAAGGATGGGCAGCATGGGGTCATTGGACGGGATTCTACGTGCTCCCGGACCAGACTATACAGCTCTTTCTCTATCACTCATAATAGTACCTCGATATGTGTGAGAGAGTACGAATAGGCTGTAAACACGAACATTTTGTCACAGAATAGCCCCGCAGACTTGTGAAAAACGTAACCCGATTACTAATTAAGGATTACGATTACAGTATGCACGATTTCCATGTGTTGCGGTTATAGTACAATCACGACTACAGATTAACGAAATAAATCGAAAAGTAGTCACATTCGTCAGTCGATTGCTTTTATATCGTACGTAATCCTAATTAATTAATCGATTACTTTTTCAGAGTGATAGATGCAATATTTTAAAAACATACATTCATTCACTCCTGATCTGATCAGGTCCATTATGTGTCGCTTAAATGTATTTTTATTTCATTTCCTTGGACATCATACGAGTATTTTGAAATTCTCTACTTTTCTCAAGTTTTCTCTATAATAATTTGTCTAATGGAAATTATGCCGATTAGACCCCTCGCGCTGTTTTATTTCCAAATTAGCATGAAATAAGTGTTACTTATTGTTTTTTATCAATAATAGTTAAGTCACTTTTAGACAAAGTAACTTCAACGGATCGAAACCGTGCAGACCGCGTAAAACTTTAGATGTAAAACGTAATTCAAAACATTCCCTATAGTCGAGTAAAAGTAAGTAAGAGTAAAATCTTCAAGTCGGCAAGTTAGGTCGGTCAAATTGCTGGAAAAATATGGCAAACCCAGACATGACATGTGACATTTCCTGTTCCTTTTAGTTTTCCCAAAATTTTCAGTGTATTGAATCGTGGTTTTATCTGTTGCATGGTACCCCTGATATCTGTCGCTGGCTATGGCATATTTCCTGCGTGTTTTAATTTTGTTTTTATAGCTGTTGACAATTTCACATGATGTAGGACTACTGTGTGATTTTCACTAATACACACAACAGCACATCAGTCGTAACATGTTAACGTTTGAAATCGCCCTTATATCCGACGAATAAGAGCTAATGCTAGTGCAACAGTTATGCTTAATGTGCCGTCGGTGTACCGCCCATTGTGTATCTTTCTGACAGTCTGGATGATTTTAGGCCGCAAAATTGTAAGGTTTTGGTTGATTCTCATGTAATACAGGATAGGGCACAAATTGGCTTCAAATCTGCTCAAGGAGAAAAAAAATCTTGAGAATCAAGGAATATGGGGTAGAGACTGACAGCAAAGATGTGCAATAGCTTTGAATGGTTCCCGCCGATATGCAAAGTATTTTCGTGACGATTTGAATAAATGTGTGGGCGTCCTTTTGGCACACAATTGAATGTTAATTAAGTTGTTTGTGTCAAACTAAGTATTAGTTTATTTCTCAAGGGCGCAGCTTAAAGTACGAAAAAAAGTTTTTTGACATTACACAAAAGGTGTGGGATATGAATCCCAAACCCCAATCTATCAATTTGTATTGTTATAATTTTGTTGTGAAAATGAGTGCTTTTGCATAAAGAATAAAGTTCTTTCGTACTATAGCTGCTCCCCTGATTCTCCCAGAATACCACTAGATTAAGCTCAGATTACGTGCATCGAGAATGTCAAGTATTCAAAATAATAAAAAACCTAAATGATGAAAATAATTTCATGCCATTGCTCGTTAAATCTATTCGAATTCCTCATTTCCACATGCATGTAGTCTTGAGTCTTAATCCCAATGTCAAAATTTATTCCCTCACTTGTAAACGTATAATCGCAGAAATAGTATGTTCTTGTTCGGTTAATCTGTCAATCTGATCACCTTGTAATAAGGTCTAAACGGTTGTCAAACGTGTACCAATGCTGATCCCAGATCGGATTGGATAGGGTTAGCTGATCAACTTTCATGAAGTACTGAAAATTATTGAAGGAAATCAGATGTAGCAGTCTATCAACTAAATCAATACCTACCTTTACTTACATAGGTACTCGAAGTGTAATTAAAAACAAAAATTACAAGTCTATCTATAATATAAAAATGAATCGCAAAATGTGTTGGTAAGCGCATAACTCAACAACGCCTGGACCAATTTTACCAATTCTTTTTTTTTAAATGTTTGTTGAAGTCCAAGGATGGTTTTTACAGCGAGAAAAGTTTGAATAATTTCCGGGTAAACCCTAAAAAACTCGAAACTTCACCCCTAAGGGTAAAACGGGGTCCACGCGTACGAAGTCGCGGGCGGCCGCTAGTATAAAATAATTATTATTATCTAGCACATTATAATAGGCTATGTTAGTTTAAAGGCTGATACAAAATTGCCATAAACATTTTTATTTAGTCAAAGAAAAGTTATCATTAAAAAACAGTTGTTGTAATTGTATTGGAAAACTGTTGTTGTAGTGTAGAGCTCTATTTGTGTCATTAAATAAGTTATAGGTGTATTTTAAATAAAATATTCTCTTTCCAGATGCGAATATTCGAACATGTTCACAGCGAGCGCGAGCGTAGCGTTGTTCGGCCTAACAGTATTCTACAGCGTCGCGATATTCGGCCTCTACCTCTCAGACACATTCCACTTCGACCGGAGGCCTGCGCCGGCGCAGCCTATACCTACCAACTAAGTTTCAACCTAAACCCTAAGTCATAACGTACATTATCGCGAAATACAGGCGTGCTTGCTAAAGCATTTGAGATTCCCCTAGATTCGTAACGTATGTGCATAAACAGGGTGCGTTTTTAAAATAGCGATCAGTACAGCCCGTATCATGAGAACGAACTTCACCGAATGATTTTCAACTTAACAATGTTATCGTATGTAACGTTACAATTGTTAGAATTTCCTTTCTTCTGTTCTCATCATTATAGTTTAGATGTTCTTTTTACTATACTAGTCCGTGTGCTGTATTCTATTTCGAAATGACCCAATCGAAGATCTGCCGCGCAACAAAACATAGATGTTAGCGTTATAAAGTGGAATAAGATATTGATCCGTTTTGAATAAAGGAATTTGATTATTAACATTTACTAAGCTAATTTATAAAAATCATTAATATTGAATGTTAGTCTTCGACAGAAATTACATAATAGAAAGTTAAGCAGTGAAATTGGATGTATGTACTTAGTGGGGATAAATTTTTCAAGTATGCTGTGATTTATTAATTGGTTTTGTAAGTAATTTTTAGAATTGTTTAACAAATTACTATTTTGTCTATGTTGAACATGACAGCAATGCAAAGTTGCTGTTGGCTTTTCGTGTTTAGTTAAGTACATTTTTATATTTATAGCAAATCTTGCTTATTATTGTATATTTTTAACTAGTAGCTTGCACAAACGAAAAATTGCGAGACATTCATAGTTAGCCGTCCAAATTTTCCAGATGTATTTTTTTATTTATATCTAACTTCTAATGACCATATTCCCTTCGGTGTAATTAAAACATTATAATATAATCGGTCTTCGCAAGTTGTAAATAGTATCATAGGTATTTATGTATAAAATATATTTTGTATTTATTTAGAAATAAGTGCGATTTTAATCATGTAACATTTGAATTATTTCTTAAAACAATCACTTTAATTGCAGCAGTTTCTTATAAATAAATTCTTTGATCTACTCATCTCACCTATCAAAAATTCATTGTGAATATATTTATGGTACCTAATAGTTTTCTATGCTAAAAGATATTATTGTTATTTACTTTTTAAGATTATAGAAATTTCAAATAAAAGAATACCTAATTGTACCTTGGTTTTAAACTTGAATCTTCCCCCATCCAAGTTGGATGATCCAACGAATCCTTAACGAAAAAAATATGTAGACATGTCTATCCTGGAATAGCCATTATTGTGTAGGTAGGAGATCCCGCCCTGTATTTCCACCAACAACCGGTCCTGCGCTGCCCGCTGACCTTCACCAGAACGTCGGTTCACCTAGTGAAAGGCCTGCCCACACTACATCTTCTGGCCCGTGTCGCCACTCGGAGAACTTCCTGCCCCAATGTCCATAAGCTGCGAACTATGTGCCCCGTCCAACGTTTGTTGAAAGTCTTACGTATTCTGGACAGATTTGTTTATATTGTCCTGTTTCAAATATAGGTAGGCTTGATTTCTCTCGAACACGGTTCGAGATAGGGGCATGTAACGGGAAACTATGGAGGACATTATGAAGTTTGTCACTACGAAGCCATCCTTACTTCCCTCCCTACTAATATTATAAATGCGAAAGTACTAGGCATGGAAATGATTGCTATTTTTCATTCATTTTCATTTTATGAAATGATGATCTTTTTTCATACGATTTCACATGCGAAATTTCACAGACAATGATTTTTATTCGCAGTGTTTTAATGTAGCTCTTTCATATAATGTGCTATTTTTAATGAAGTATGAATTATGATGAACGATTGCTAATTAGCTAAAATATGAAATGTAACAAATCTGTTTCATTTTATGTCGCACAACAAAAAACAACAAGTTTCACAGCACAGTACCTATGAATGCAACAATCAATAACCGCGCGACTAGTGAAAAATCATTCATTTCATCTGCCTGCCTCATAATGAAATCATACGAATCATGACAAGGAAATTTAAACCTTACACTTTTGAGTTTAAAGTTCATATTTAAAATGCCCAGTTTCGTCCGTCATCACCTCTCTTGTCCTTTTCTAACACGCAAATGATTAAATCATTCCTTCTTACTCGCTCGGTCGCTTCGCAGAGCTGCGCGCACGGACTTCGCTCGAATGAATGAATGAAATTCATGTGATTCGTGATTTCGTCGACTGTGAAATTATAGCAGTCTATGTGAAGTAAAATAGCAGGTGTGATTAATGAAATTAATTTCATATGATTTTTCACCTGCTATTCATGAAATGTTCCATTCCTAGAAAGTACACAACTGTCTGTCTGTGTTGCCTAAACCACTGAACCGAGTTTGATGGAATTTGGCATTGTGTAGAGTCCGGAAAGGACATCTCAAGACTCCCAACGCTGTATTTAGGGTTCCCAACCCTCCCGGATTGCCCGGGAGACTCCGGAAATAATGGTTAACCTCCCGACCTCCCGGAGAGCAATATTTTCTCCGGTATTTCTAAAAATTTAATGCATCCATTGCTGCTCGTACTTGTTTATAAATTTTATCTTTAAAAGAACCAATCACATGGACCAGCATTACTAAACTCCAGGAATTATTAAATATTGATATAGATAGTGACAAATTGTACGATGAGGTTGGACTTTTGCGTGAGGTGCAACCACATCTTATTGAAGAAAATTGACTTCTTTACGAAATCGAAAGACAGAAATCCCTGTCCTGAATTTAAAAAAATGGTCACGTTTGTTCTTTCCATTCCTGTCTCCTGTCTCTATTAATGCTTCNCCCCCCCCCCCCCCAATTCTCCCGGGTTGGTCCTTTCAAGAGTTGGCAACCCTAGCTGTATTGCTTAAAGTCGTCGTCAGGCAATGTGCCCATATGCTGCCTTGTTTGTGTGTGTGGTTAAGTTTAAGTAGGGATAGATAAATAAAAATTAAATATCGTTGTAACCGTCAAGTTTATTATGTAACCAAAAAAAAGTTAAAACACTTCATAAAAAACGTATCCAGCTTTCCGCCGATGATTACCTGCAAAACAAAGAAACAAATTATTGGTCTGTCGTTTTTTATCACATCTGCGGACGCAAAAAAAAATACGAACAGATTCGCATCTATTTGAATTTAGGCTACACCACTGGTGAAGCTTTTATAAAATGTATCTCACCGGATTGAGGCTTATTGAAAATAAGTAACAATATCCTCACCTAGATAAGAATTTACTATTTCCAACTTCATTTTCTCGTTAACATAATTTTTTAACAAGCAATCTAAAATGAATTTGGACAATTTGTAAAGTTGTAAAAAGTTTAATTACCTGTTAAACACACGGAAAAATGCAGACGTTGATGAAGAACAGGCACGCAAATCTGGAAAACAAGAAAAGTTATATGAAAATGTGTAGGGTTTAGACCAATTAATAATAAAAAGGTGTGATGTTCAGCCATCCAAGGAAGTTTTAAATGCGTGGTAATCATGGTTTGCGCATTCATTATGCATTATATCATCATAAAATCGCGGCTAATCAAGGCACTATAATACTATTTGTAAAAAAATAACAATTACCTTTTCAAGTGTGGTGGTTTTAGTCAGTGGCTCAGGTTTCTGTAACACAACAATTACTAAATTAGTACATAGGTACAACTTTTACAGTGACATTTCATTTTCTTTATGTAAAACTTACCAGCTTTAACTTCTGTTTGGCAAATTAAATAATCTAAATCAAACCCAAACATTGGAGTTAAAGTTTATTAAAAACCACTGGCTTTCCATCTGACAATAACGGAATAAACCAAATAGAAAGTCAATGACGTCACGAATGTAGTGTTTATCGCTTGCGGTGGAGTTGCAGCGTGTTGCGTCGGATCCACGCGGCACGGCGGGAGCCTCCCTTGGTCTGGGAGAAGCGGTGGCCCTTGCCGAGACCACGGGAACTGCGGCCGGCTGACGTAAGACCACGCATCTCGCGGTGTTTGTGAACGGCATTCACGATCCAGTTGATCTTGGGGTCTCGGCGGATAGCCTGCACAAACAAATGAATGTTAGAAAAAGGAAAAATGATATTGTAGAGTAGTGAAAGGGTTGGTAATATCAGAAAAAATGGTAGGTGAAGTTTCAGCAAAACCTTTCAGATTGGTGCATGACATAGTTATTCATCATAGAGAATAAAATAATAAAAAAAAAATGTAAATATAAATGAAAATAAATTACCTTGTGTGAAGGATCAATGAGGATGACCTCAAAGTATTTGTATGAAGAGTCCTGAGCAACCCAGTAGGAGTTGAGCACGCGCAGACCACCACAGCGGCGACCAACACGTTCCTTGAAGAAAACAGCAATAATGAGATAAATGCACACCTAGTAATAGTACAAGGTAGCAAAAAACTGCTGGATGCAGGCACAGACCTGCCATTATGGAAATAATTGGGGAAGGCCTATTTCTAGCAGTCCTATGACTGAAATGATGAATAGTACTTAGCCAAGATTCAATCAAATTACAAGATTCAAGTGCAAGTAAGTCTATAATCTACATGAAGTCAATGAACTCCAGTAGCATCAAGCATGCCCCACATGGGTTTGTAGGTTATTTTTATAGCACATGTTTAATAACAATTTAGTGCCACAAAGCTAAAGATTCACAACCTAAAGTGAGACTATCCATTGCCCACTACAGCTTAGCCACATGGTGATAATTATTAAACAAATATTGTGGACAAAAAACGCATGGGTCTCATAGATAACAAAAAATACCACAAGTCTTGCTGAATAATTAAACGAATGTCTGTAAACATTTAGGAAACCATGGGGCATGTTTCTTATAACCTGGATGAAGTATTTGCTTACCTCAGCAATGGACTGTAGGTTGCGTGTGGGCTTCAGCTGGTTCACACCGTGGCTCTTGGGCTTGCCGTAGGTGGCACCCTTCGCGACCGGGCGCTTGCGGCCTCCACGGCGTACGCGGATTCTGAAGATCACATAACCTAAAAACAAAGCGTGGTTAGCATAGTACCGCAAACTTGAAGAGCAAAGAAAAAAAAAGAGCAAATTAACATGAAGATTGATTTGATCACAAAGAACATCATAATTACCTTGCTTGGCACGGTATCCTAGCCTCCTAGCCTTGTCGGGCCTTGTAGGCCTGGGAGCGCGGTGCATACGGGTCAACTGGCGGTACTGCCATACCCTGACACGCAAGAGGAATCGCATAACATCGCTCAGCTTTTTTCGATATAATTCCTGAATATATCTGTAGGCACCCATCTTTGGAAGCCTGTGGCAGACCTAGCAACAAAATCAATAATAAATTGATCAGAAGTCACATCATCGGTCTGGCCACAAATAAAGCGATTCAAGACCCGCCCCGATGGACATTTTAACACTGAAATAGGTGCTTAATTTAGAAAATATATCATTCTAAACCACTGAAACCAATAAACTTTTAGTTTAACAAATAACCAAAACAGTAAAATAGAAGATTAGCAAGATATTTAGAGATTTTAAACACACGTACGTCTCACACACACCACAGGTAAACCGGAAAAGACAAAATGAAACTGACGGATTATTTTCTGTGAAACTGACGTTTATGACGTGACGTATACTTTTCAGGGAGAGTTTAGTTTGCCAGCCTAAATATCTGGCTACCCAATTTCATATTACAGAGCAACAACGATGTCTTTCTCAAAACACTTGATGTGCTTGTTCCCAATCCAACGAACTATGCCTTGCCCCTTGCCTGCCTATTATATCATTGACTTAAGCTGAAATTTTTCTTTTTCGCTAGTTCGTAAGCGGCCTCGCTCGACATAAATTTCGCGATGTGGAAGTAGATTTCGAGGTTTTAAAGTGATCAAAACGCGTTGTGGTCTGTCTTTTAGCTCAAAAGCTGTTAAACGTATCACAAAAATCCAATAAACTTTATTATGAGAAATAGTTAATAGAATGCGATCAGCATTTAATTTGTTCCTACAATTTTGGTAAAGCTTTGTAAGCTGGCAACCCTGTTCAATTAACAGATTAAAAAATCCTAGTCTCCCACAGATTAAAATAGCATTCATAGACTAAAGAGATACGTGTGAATAATAAAATACCGTAACGGTATTTCTAGCGGTCAGCATGAAAGGTTCCTAAATAAATTAATTTATAGCGTTTAGGAACCGCTAGCATGCCATATAAGTAGCCATATTGCGCACATTTACAGGAAACTAACTTTGGTCTTGCAGTACGCTTTTGTCTTTATAGCCTGACCAGGAACATAAAAACCCTCGCCATGTTGCGGAAAACTAATGGTACTAATTTCTTTTAATGGCAACAGTAACTGAAAACTTCATTGACATGTCACCTTGCATGTCAGTCTATTGTTGTCAAAGTGTAAACAAACTTTATTTTAAATGTGTGCAATTGATTTTGTGAATTAAATTGCCAAAATATTTTTATAGTCGTGAAAGAAAAGTGGTACACGGTGTGTTAATGTATTTGTCGAAGAGAAATACTAAGGGTTCGGACAATATTTTCATTGAATAATNGTAAAATTATTTTTCTAACTTTACGGATAACATTGATTGTTTTGCTGTCCAGTGTGTTTTTTGATTACATCTGTGCATACAGTTTGTTTCCTGTTCTCGTTCTTAATCAGAGCCCCGAGCCCCGATTACGGTAACTTTTAACGTCAACAATCCAGACACGCTTCTCGATTCTGCGATACGATTGGTCGTTCAACAGCGTACGTCAGCTGTTTTGACCAATCGTATCGCAGTATCAGAAACGCGTCTGGATTGTAGACGTTATAAAAGTTACCGTAATCGGGGCTCAGTTCACATTCAATGTTGCGACTTTGTTGCATATTTTTAGTATTTTGACGATCACCCGGCGATGGCGATGATACGCAAGTACTACAATATTTCACTTCGCGATTAACGAGAGGTTTTGTCGCATCACTAGTTCACAGACTAAAAATATTTTTATATCAGTTGGCCATATTTGATGACATTTCTGCTGATTTCTAAAAAATTAGACTGTACTCAGTGTTGCACTATCAAATGCAATTGAAGCGCCTCTATGCCAGGGTTTTTATGTTCCTGGTCAGGCTATAAATAAAACATTTTTTGTGACTTTACTTCTGAATAGCGTAGAAAGAATATGATAGATAAAAATGGAAATTGACGATTAACATGAACAAATAAGGATTTTTATATGGGTTTTACTAATCATCTGGGTTTTATAGTTTACCTTTTTACGTACCGTTTTTATTCGGCAGTTATGTGTCGATGGTCTATCATCCTCTATGTTTATAGTCTGTGCCGCTCGCCGCCATCTTGAAAGCGTAAATTTGTTGTCATGTTTACGTTGTGTGTGAAGTGAAATTTTGCAAATTATTTTAATAAAACCTGGTAATTATTAACTGTTCTTTAAAAACAATCCTTTTACATAGTTAAAGTCGGTTGCGGTTTACAGTAGTCTTGTTAATTTTCATGGGGAAACCGTGAAACGTAACTAAAAGATTGGGCGCCAAATTGCTACTTTTCGTTACAGTTTATTGGTTTAAAAACAGTCTATAAAGCTTTGTATTAAAATATTGAGAGTGCTCTGAGATCTGCATTTGATTATTTATACTGCTTTAGATTTATAACCTTTTTTACTTACTTCCTAATTTCGGTTTCAGAACAAAGTTGATGTAACCACTGGACTAGTTATTGTAAACTACCACAATGTTTTACGCACATTTTGTGCTGGCCAAGAAAGGCCCCTTGGCCAAGATTTGGCTAGCTGCGCATTGGGACAAGAAGTTGACAAAAGCTCATGTGTTTGAGACTAACATTGAGAAGTCTGTAGATGGTATTTTGAAGCCAAAAGTGAAAATGGCTCTAAGGACATCTGGCCATCTGTTGCTGGGTGTTGTGAGGATTTACTCCAGGAAGGCAAAGTATTTGCTGCAGGATTGTAATGAGGCTTTTGTCAAGATCAAGGTATGTTCGTTTCTCTCCGTTCATTTGTTTTGTGTAATATACATTTTCAGACTAACTTGGGTGGCCGAGAGATGTACTTGTATGTAAAATAGAAAAAGTTTACTAACTTAGAAACTGGATGAGTTCTCTGAGTATGTATGATTGTACTATAAATAATTATTTACCATGTTATTAATTTTGTGATAGGTACTAAGACTAACATACTTTTACAATTCAAAACAATCTTAGATCAAGAGATTGTTCATTGTTTTTATCCTGATTTTGTTTAGATTTAACCCTTAACCACCTAGCACCTATTTCTGTCCTTTAACCACCTACGTGCGGTCACAGAGACCGCTAATAAATTATTGCGATTATTTTGGGATCTGTGATAAGAAATTAAAGTTCGATGAAATAAAATGCATGTCTATACCTATTTGCTTTATTTAAGCGTCACAAATTAGCAAAAGTAGTATAAAAGTTTTATAAAAATGGTATAATATCTATGACATAAGGAATATGACACCAAAAATAACTGTACTAAGAAAATGAGATCTTTATTCTAAAATACTTAAATTTTTCACTTCTTTTTCTTATTTCTAATAATTTAAATAAACTAAAAATAAAATCAAATAAAAAAACTAAACAAAAAATTAAAAAAATAACAAAATTGCAAAGCCTCAACTTATGCATTTTTTTGCGGCAGTAACAACTCATTTTTTGCGAACACTCCAAACAAATAGGTACTTTACACACGAAACATGGGTAAGACGTGTTGCGTTTGTTTTTTGGATGATACGTAAAGCATGTTTTACGAACTTCAAGTCATCATCATCATCATTTTCGTCTTCGTCACCCTCAATTTCAGATTTAGATCCACTCTCTTCAGCCTGCTCTTGATTAACGCTTACATCAGGTTTGACGTGGATGCAATCGTCGCTAGAAAGGTCATCTTCGTCCGAGATTTCTTGCTGAAGCCATCTTATAATATTTTCGTAATTTTTACTCATTTTGATTCTAAAACAGTAATAATAAAAAGTCACACAACCACCTACGTGCGGTCACGGAGACCGCTGGCGAATTTATTTTACTTACCCTGGCCAAACGCGTGCACGTACACACTCACCGAGCACTAGCGCGACACCGAATGGTGTGTAGAAAAGGTACATGAACGCGCTTTGTCGCACGCCACTCACACGCGGAAATTTTTGAATTTGAAAAATCGTTGCGGTCTCTGAGACCGCAGGTAGGTGGTTAAGGGTTAACAAAATAAGCTTCAGGAAACAATGACCTACTTATAAAGGTTACTGTATGTTTGCAACTTTGCAAAAAGGAAAATGTATGATGATTAAGTTTTGTAAGCTATCATTTATATCATTATAGCATTTAGTTTTAAGTCCTCTGTACATATCCTCAATGGCTGTACAATAAATTGTGTATTTTTTTTAGATGGCCTTCCGGCCTGGCATGGTGGATTTGCCAGAGGAGCACCGGGAGGCCGCCATGAACGCCATCACTTTGCCAGAAGTATTCCATGACTTTGACACAGCTATGCCTGAGTTGAAGTAAGTATTTGCACCAGTAATATTCACCATCATAATTAATGATGATACTGAATTTGTATTTCTCAAATTAGTTATTAAATTACTGATATTCCTGCCAACTCCTCCAACTTGCTAAATGTATGCCTGGGTTAGAAGTAGGTTGACCTCAATAGTCAAATTCAAATTATTGCTCCAATGTTGGTATACAGAGTTAATAATCTTAGTTTAGTGGATAATGGGGATTGTACTCCAGACTTTTGAACTGGTAGTCTGACACTGACACAGTTTGGCTATTGTTGGCAGACATTGTTTAAGTTAAAATTCAAATATTTATTTGAACAATGTTATAGAATAGTGGTTTTTAACCGGTGGTCTGCGGACCTCTGGTGGTCCCTGGAGGCATTCCAAGTGGTCCACGAATTGCACTTGCACACCTTGGTCAAAACCACTTTTAACTGATTTTTGCAGTCAAACTGAGGTGGTCCCTGACAAGACAGAAATTTGGTAAAATGGTCCCTCATGACTTAAAAAGGTTAAGAACCACTGTTATAGAACTTAATATTATGATCTTACAACTAGTTTATCATAATTTGTATGAATCTTAGTTTGATCCTTTGATTGAAATTAGTTTTACTGCATAATTATCTTCTTCTTCTTTTATAGTGAAGTGGATATTGAAGTGCAGTACTCCCTCAATCAGTCCCGAGCTGAGGAGATCACGATGCGCGAGGACTACGGTTCCTTGAACCTGGTGACTCATGACGATGGCTTCGGAGACATGGGGTTCGATACCGATAACCCTGATATCATGCGAGAGGCTATCGGGAATGAGGAGGGCTTGGAACAGGTGAGATTTGACTATTACTAACCAGTTAGGTTAATAACTAAAACAGTCACATTGATACAATGGCCCAATCAGAAGGCCAAGTGTAAAAAATCTGCCCTCAATAAACAAAGCTAACCTAAAACAATGTAGGAGAATAATAATTTTATGTGTTTTATAAGAGTGTGGATACCAACTAAGAGAGAGAAATAATCTTCCTCTTCCCTTTTAACCCCTCAAAGTAAGCTTAATATTATGTTTGTATTAGGAGTGGGTTTACCAACAGTCTTCATTCATGGTTCAGATTTAATTAACATTCCTTGAATCTCGAAACATTAACTAAAACTTATTTATCTTTCAGAGTAACTTACTATTCGCGGACGGCTCATCACTAGAACTGGCGGGCAAAGACCCGGGTGTGGCCAGTACAAGTGCGGCGGGTGTCCCAACACTAGCAACGCCTGCCCATGAGAGACGAATGGAGGCGGCGCCCCACGGTCCCATGGATGACGGCTTTGGAGGCACTATTGGGGATGTGGCTGATGATTTTGGACGTAAGTAGCCTGGCTTTAAGGTTCATTTTCTGGTAGCAAATCGTCGCTTTATCTAACGGGCTAAGAGTGTTAAGGACCGGGCGTGACCAGTGCGGCGGGTGTCTTAACTCTGCAAGGCTACTCCGTTACGCTGTTTACGTAGTTTTGGGTCTATCTATCACTCTCGCTCATGCCGGCATCTCGCTTACGTGAGAGTGATGGCAACATTCGAAACGTCGGATAACGTTTTTGGGAGTAGCCCTACTGTCATAAAATTGCATCAGTGATAAAGTTGAGAAAATCACTTTTCCTCACCAATCTGCTGTTCGAGTGGTAAAATACGACCTAAACACCCAAAATGGCCAAAAAGTTGACAAACTTATTCCAAATTGTAACTAAAACCGGTTGCGAACTTATTGGCTAGGTACTTTGGGTGTCCCGTAACTATTTGACGGTGACTGTACTACAAACATTATGTCTACATCTACGTAATGTTCTCCTTTAGCAGACGCAGGCGGTCTGTTCGAGGGCGACTTATTCGGCGACGTGTCGGCGGGCGCCGGCGGCGCAGGCGCCACGCCTGGCATGCCCGGCGCGGGAGCGCAGCCGCAGTCGCTACAGGTATACTGTTTTGAACCTTATCAAACTGTGTTAAGGTCTTAAAATTATTAAAGGTTTGATCTTTCTTTGTCTGTTCAATAGTTATTAAACTGTCTTAGTTCTTGGTTAGAGTAGTGTTGTTGTTAGTTATAAAATATAACGTAAATATCGAGCAGAAAGTATCGCTTCTCTTATAAGTGCGAAATAACTTCATTCGCCTCAATACGACTTGATGTTTTTTTTTTAAATCTGATTGAAACTCCTAATCAAGTTCAAAACTGATAAATATTGTAAAAGAGAAGCCTTCCAAATGTTAAAATCATTCATCACTTAGTAAACTACCAATCAAGCACACAATATAACTGCTATCGCAATGTTAACCTTACTGAGACCTGACTAACCTGAGATCGCATCCAAAAACACAGTGCAGAAAATTAACTGATATGTGAATATCAACCTTACCTGCTTTGTCTTTAGGCTGAGATCGACGCAGTCGGCTAACACAGCTCAGAATAACTGACATACAAATATCAACCTTACGTCTTTTATCTTTAGGCTGAGATCGACGCAGTCGGCTAACCTAACACAGCGCAGAATAACTGACATACAAATATCAACCTTACGTCTTTTATCTTTAGGCTGAGATCGACGAAGCCGGCTAACACAGCGCAGAATAACTGACATACAAATATCAACCTTACGTCTTTTATCTTTAGGCTGAGATCGACGCAGTCGGCTAAAAGCGCAGAATAACTGATATACAAATATCAACCTTACGTCTTATGTCTTTAGGCTGAGATCGACGCAGTCGGCTAACAGTGCAGAATAACTGACATACAAATGTCAACCTTACGTCTTATGTCTTTAGGCTGAGATCGACGCAGTCGGCTAACAGTGCAGAATAACTGGCATACAAATGTCAACCTTACGTCTTTTATCTTTAGGCTGAGATCGACGAAGCCGGCTAACACAGCGCAGAATAACTGACACACAAATATCAACCTTACGTCCTATGTCTTTAGGCTGAGATCGACGCAGCTGGCGTGGCAGCGGCCGAAGCGGGCGACGACGCGACGGCAGCGGCCGACGCGCCCGACTCGGATGACGATATGGGCGACCACTATGACGCTGGAAACTCGCCGCAGCACAGGTATAATGATCTCAGTTTGCATTGGAAAATAGGTGCTCTATTACAAATGTGTTAGATGCTACGATATTTAGCGTAATGTCCCGCGCCGATTCCGAGCTTTGGGGGCAATTTAGGGCCTTAGGACTCTTTCCCACGGCATGTGTGTTCACACGACAGTATCCCGCTTTTTGCAGGTACGGGTGTTTGCTTAATGCGGGAAACTGCTAGTGGGAACTTTTGTCCAATTTGGAATTCGGTCAAGTTTACCCGTATTTCAAATTATGAACGGATCGGTTTTTTGCGGCATACTGCAAACGGGATGTTCGTGTATTGTATTAAAACCCGTATACCACTAAACGGTACCTGCCAAAAACGGGATGTCTCTGTGAGAAAGAGCCCTTAGGTCAGCGTTGCCAGTTTTTTTTTTCGCCAAGTCGGGACTTTGGTACTTTTTGAGTGAAAATAGCGGGATTCTTCCGTCAAAAGCGGGACATAGTAAAAAAACGTATATAATCAAAGGTTTTCAAATATTTATCTTTTTATTTGACTTAAAATTACGTTTACGTGACAATAGATAGCAAAAGTAGCCATAGAAAATGTATTTTAACAAAAAAAATATATTTTGAATCAGATTTACTCTATCGTTAAATTCGTCTTTAGAATAAAAAAAGAAAAAATAAACCAAAATCGAAATAAAAAAAAATATTCTTTAGAATAATATGGCGTTTCAAACAAGAGTCTGGTGAAGTGAATGTCTCTCTCCGAAAAGCGGGACATATAAATTTTATTTAAAAATCGGGACGTCCCGCCAAAATCGGGACGTCTGGCAACGCTGCCTTAGGTGGTCAAGTTGAGCCATGTCAATCAAGATTACCTATATCTTCATTTTATTTCGGACACTGCCATTAATGTAATGATACTTGTTTCAGCTGGGGCGGGTCGCCGCCGCACGAGACGCCGCGGCCGCTGGAAGACCCGGCGGACCTCATGCCGCCGCCCGCCATTGTGCCGCGCCCACCGTCTGTCAGGCCCATGGTAATATACCTCTTTCTTTCTCTTGTGTTCTAATAATACCTATTATGTATCTATGTTCCAAAACTCTTACTAACAAAACTTACACGCGCTGGTTGAACAGTGTTTTAAATTGAGGTTTAGACGATTATCACACTGCACCGCGCTCCGCTGCGGTACGCGGGACGACAGATTTAATCATTGTATGCAAGTACCTCAGTTTATATAATAAAATTATAATAAAAATAAACTTTTTTAAAAACAAGCTTTTATTCTGAATTTCGAAAGCTTGTATCGCGCATGGAATTTATTCCTCTTTTTCTCTGTTTGCGCTACAAGCTTTCGAAATTCAGAATAAAAGCTTGTTTTTAAAAAAGTTTATTTTTATTATAATTTTATTTTACACTTTTTAGTTATATCTTAATCTCAGGACCCTGGACATTATCTAACAGTAAAGTGCTCGAAAAGTCAAATCCAACGAACCCAAACTCGACGAGTTTCCGCCGTTTTGTTTAGAAGTTCCTATGGCCACCTCCCGACTCCATCATCAGACCAGCTCAATGGTACCATAATATTGCATTGTCATCGTACTTACATAAGTATACCAAATTTCAGCTCAATCGGTTGAGGAGAAGTGGTCTTAAATTCAGTTGCAAGATTTGTCCCACACATACTAACAAGTGAAGTCAATATAAAGCTTGTAAAAACACGCGCGGCACAACACACTGACAACGCGTCTGCGCGCGGGTTTTTTTATAATCGCCTTAGTGCGGAAATAACATTCTAAAACAGTGTTCAACAAGAGTGTAACTTTTTATTAATAACGGGTATAGATAACTGAGTCAGTGAGGTACGGGAGCGGCATGTAAGGGTATTTTTGTGACGTCAAACGTCAGCGAGACTTCAGATCTGCTTCAGAATTGTATACTTTCGTGCCGCTCCCGCACTGACTGAATTATATGCTGCTAACCCTATCAAAAATGATTATTTTTTTAAAATTATTGGCTATATGTGCGGGTGCTAACGTTATTATGTTAATTATGACGTAGGAGGTAGATGGTCAAGCGGCAGAGGATGCAGTGGTGCCGTCACCAGCGATAGCTCAAGAGGAGGCAGCTGGGGACAACACCACCCTACTCAACAACGATGAAGAGTCCTTTGCACTGGCGCCTGTAGATGCCACCGTGCTCAAAGGTAAGTCAAGCCTGGTGTTTATGTTGGCCTGGTTTCCCCTTTTTGTGTATAGCCAATGTGTGTGTGTACTTACAACAAGATAGTGTACACAAATTGACAGCTGCTGGATGAGAAAGCGGGAGTTGGTACTTTGTGGCGTTCCTTGGGGCTTACGTCCAACAGTGGACCGCTTTTAAATGCTCGGGTTTCCTCAAGGGCTGAATGAATAACCGAAACATTAAATCTATTTATTTGGACAAAGCGTGTGACGTCCACCTACAAGGTGGACCGACGACATCGTAAAGGCAGCAGGAAAGCGCTGGACGCAGGCCGCTACCAATCGATAAACATGGAAAGCATTGGGGGAGGCCTATGTTCAGCAGTGGACGTCCTATGGCTGAAATGATGATGATGATGATTTGGACAAAGATATTTATTATTCTATTCGTCATTCCCTAGCTAAAGATCGCGTCCGTTGATTGCCACTCTCTCTACGATTTTTTGTATTTTCAGTGACTATTATTCATTAGACACAAATTCCACATTATTCAGTTACTAACCCTTCCAAAACTCCACAGGCATAACCAAAACAAAACGCAAGCGCAAGCTCATCGTGGACGAAGTGAAGAACATATCTGGTGAAGAGATGAAGAACCAGCTCAGCAATACTTCAGACATTGTGACCACTTTGGACCTGGCTCCCCCCACGCGCCGCCTTATGCATTGGAAGGAGACTGGGGGCGTGGAGAAACTGTTCACGTTGCCTGCCAGGCCGATACCCTCGCGAGTACTGTTCAAGGTAAGCAAGAACTTGGCTCTAGTAGATCTTTATTTATTTAATTTTATGTGTAGCAAAGTCTAAATTATCATGTAGGTTAAAATAATTATTTGGGATAATAAATTTTAAACTTTCGCGTTGCATAATTGAATTAATTTAAACAGGTTTTAACGCGATACGCGGATATGTAACATTGAAATGTTACCTATATTTGCCAGACTTTTCGACCGAGTTGCACCGACCGTAGTCACAGGCTGACTGGAGCGTTGAGTGCGCGATCCGTATGATGGGTAGAATAATCTAATTCTATCCCCATGTTAATGATTTGGGACGCAAAACCTGGCGAAGGATTTCTGTGACGTATAGAAAAAAATGAAGGGGATAATCTAACAATCATAATCGCGCTATGTGGTCTAGCTACCACACTGTCTCTCACAGTCCATCTGATCAAATCCCTATTAGATTTAAGAGCTCATTTGCCAAGTAAATTATGCCCGTTTTCACCATTAATACCTAATTTTTAAGTGACCCCTATGAACACAAAATGCCTGTCATGTGTTACCATAGGGGTCACTTATAAATTAGGGATTGATGGTGAAATCGGGCACTAGTTTCATAAGGCTCGTCTTCCAACTATCAGAAAAGTACTAAAGTTTGTAATACTCTCTTGCAGAAGTACCAGCGCAACATGACGCTTCGCAGCGAGGGCGAGGAAGGTGAAGCGCGCTCGCCCGACCCCGAACCCACGGGGGCGCGCCGCGGCGGCCGCAAGCGACGACACGAGGAGGTAAACTATACTTGTTATCCCTCTCTAAAGTATGTTCGCCGAGAGTTGATAAATATTATGAAATGTCTTGCAATAGCGACTGTCGCTTAATTATCGCATTCTGTATGGCGGGCGTCGTTTGTCACAACGCGCACTGAGTACCATGGTGCCACGCAGCTGTCGTCAAGCGCCCCGGCCGGCGGGCCGCAATGTGTGAAACGGAATAGATTTATTTTACATAAGACCGAAATGAATGGTATGACAGTGGGTAGGGCTTTGCCCAACATTGGGATACACTATAAGCCACTTGATAATAATGAAATACTTTTTATCCAACACATGGACGCCACGTGTTTGATCCGTATCCCGGAATAATTCCCGTAAATTTAAAAGAGATAATAATGACAATCTACCAACTTTTTCATTATATCGACAAAAATAATTAGCGGGCTGCAATTTATAATGAGTTTAGAACCTCTGATATTTATTTTTTTTATCAACTCTCAGCGAACAGACTTTACCCTTTAACCAGAGTAAATACAAATGAGTAGGTTATCTTCATAGAAACGCACCCAGCGCGGTTTGTATGTGAGCGCGCCAATACGTATGCAGCGCGCACGCACACACTGACAAAATCGTGGATTATCGGGGAGTCAGTCGTGGTTGCGCCGTACGTAATACCGCGGCCCGCGCGTATTTATTTGTTTATAACGATAAGTAAATCAATCAACCTAGATATTATTTTATTAAAATAATTACATGATTCGATAAAGACACGTTTTTGATCAAACCTTTTTCGAAAGTAATTTGGACAAAAATGCTTATTCTAGAAGGACAATTATTTCGTATTTAAATTGAGTAATGCAGTTTTGACGATTGAATAAACTATAGCGAGGGCGACACCCCTACGTGTTTAGGCTATTATCGCTCGCTCGGGGCTCGAGTTGGCCTTTTTTCTATGTCGTTTTTTCTATGCTTTAACCTTCGAAGTCCGCACAATGGCCCAATCAAGAGGCTAAATGCGAATTGATTGCCCTGCAAAACTAACTAGCCTTCGTCGTCAGGAAGTTGTACCTTAACTTCGAACTCCTATGTTCTTCTGATTAATGTCGTTGCGGATTCAATGACAATTTAACTTTCCCCCGCAACAAACTTGACCTTCACTGGTTGGGTTTTTATTGGCGGTCAAGCTACATAGAATTTGAAGCGGTGGGAACGAGAGGTGGGAATAGTCCCGTACCCCGTCCGTAGTCTAAACCCGCTCACAACAAAGCACAAGTCATGTCCGTTTCAGCTCGGAATGACAACCGGGGCGCAAAATGTCCACTTCTAATGACAACTACTTGTTGATATTTTTTATTTTCATTAGTTCTAGAGTTCTAGTTCTTCTAGAGTTGTCATTATGCGAAGTTGACTAAATGCGAATTTGTCATAGTGAGAAATAGACATTATGAGAAGTTGTCTTTTAGCGAAGTTGACATTTTAAGAAGTTGTCATTTCGAGAAGTGGACATTTTGCGCCCCGGTTGTCATTTTGAGAAGTTGAAACGGTCATGACGTCAACGACCATTATGTCAAGAGTGTAACGACTAAATTATTACTTTATTACAAAACTAAATTATTTAAATTCCTTCTCAGACTATTCAACCGCCAGAAACGCCCGCGCCACCGCCGCCAGAGATGGAACCGCCTACGCCCGTGCCACAGGAATACGAGCCTTCTGTCGGTGAGGATACGTCGCTTTTTTACTTGCACTATCTGTTCATATTGCAAAAAGATAATTACTTCACTAAGGCCATCAATACATTGTCTTTTTTCCTGTCTCTAAAGTTCCCTTATTTTTAAGACTCTTCAATTTCATTACTATAAGTTTTTCATTCATTAACATTTTGGTTTTATGCATAGTTTTTTTCGTTTCTTGACTTATGAGTTCTTTTGCTTTATCATTTTGGTTCTTGCTTTAATAACCTTTTCACATAATTTCACTTTCTTGGTTCATAAGTGTTCACCCCATTGCATAATTTTTGTCTTGAAGGTTTAATGGATTTACAAATAAAACTAATGTTCATAACTGCTTTAACTTTTCACATGGGCAAAAACGTTCATCTCACAGTGTAAGCAATGTTCTATCAAGTAGGTTGTAACAGGCCACAACTTAGCCTCGTCACGTCTAACATACATAATTATTATTCTGAAACAAACCGATTTACATGGCGCAAGCCAATTTTCCAGAATATAGAAAACTTTGCTATTCCTTCTGACACAGTCAGGTAAAAACGACCTCACTGTTCAACTAAAAGTTTTGAACTAAATTAATTTGCAAAGGTCCTTACTTTTGTTTCATAATATTGGATCAGTGTTGAGTAGATTAGAACATCATTATGTACATATCAGCTGTATAAGTCACAGAAGATAACTATAACTATAGTCTGGTCTGTGAGCAGAGCATGGATGTTGCTATCGCGCTCGCACACTCACTGCGGGTGCCAGTCGCACAGTCGCGACAGCAATATAATTACGCGCGAGCAATAAGGATGGGTAGCTTGGGGTCATTGGACAAAATTCTACGTGCTCGCAGACCAGACTATAGTCACCCTATCCAGACGTCAGTACGTCATAGCGTCCAAAAAGCGCTCTTACTGACTGACTCCAAGGGTCAGAGTGATAGGAAGGCTTTTCTGATTTTCGGAAAACACAAATTGAGTTCTGTGAGTTGTACGATGCTATGATTGCATCAACGGTCAGCAGTAAATGGCAGTTATATTATGATGTTTTTAGTCTTGACTAGACCGGGTTAATTAAAAAAATAGGAGTATTAGTAATTTGTTGTTACACAAATTACAATACTAACCGTTAGCCCCTCGTACTAAGCTAAATATGCTTGTGTCACGAGTGAGCTCACCACAATAGTCGTGCGGCGGCGGTGACCGACCCGCGTTCCCCGGATCACGAGTCGGCCAGTCCGACCCCTTCACCGTTCGGCTATCGTGGCTTCTTAAATTGTGTGCCTTATTAACTTAAAACCTGTGAGCCGAACGTTCCGCCCAGCACCACCTAACGCATTAACGTTTCGCGCGGCCAGTACCGGACGCCGAGCCAGCCAGCCCGCGACGCGACGACGACGCGCCGCCCACGCCAGGTAACCACCGCTTGGTGACGGATGCACATCACTACATATTAGCAGGCCCGTTCATCTCCGCGAGTTTACATTGAAAACAAAACACGCACAATGGCCCACCTACAGGATACTATTCGACAAGGCCTCACATACGAGCGAACATTGACTCACGCACGCGTATTCTTGTGTATGATGGAAGAAAATAAAGAAAATGGTGTACTAAATACTGTGCAGTATTTAACTGCCTAAATAACAATAAAAACACAGAATGTACTTTTTTAAGTTGCCTCAATACACTGAGAGGTAAATAAGTAGATTCATGATAATTCATGATAAAACATGTAATTTCCTCCGCCATTTTCCGCAGTTTGGCACCTCACGTCACAACATTTTACCGAAGTCAGCCCTATCACTTCGGCGCAGTGCCGATCACTGACGTTTGTCAACAAAATGGTGCTTGACTCTTGCTTGAGACAGGCTAAATTACACCATATTGTTAATGACATTGAGCATACATTTTTTTAAATACCTTCGCGAAGTAAAACTTCTGTACGTAGCACTTAATATTATTCTGTGATATTAGCGCCTGTAGGGCTACTCCGCCGTTTACGTAGTTTCGGATATATCTGTCACTGTCGCTCATGCTGGTATATCGCTTTTGTGTGAGAGGGATGGAAACATTCGAACTTCGGATTACGTTTTTGGGAGTAGCCCCGCTGAGCACACCACGTTATTTAAACGCGCTGATGCTTTTTTCTTGCGAAGTTCTACAACGTACGTCTAGCTTACGTGTACCAGTAGTCAGGCGACACATCCTAAGTCGGATAGAAGTAAAAACACGCTTTGACGGTGCGCTTAAAGAACGTGGTGTGCATAGACTCTTATGCTACTAATATCATGTGAAAGTTGGTGAAGATGATATTTGTTACTCTTTTGCGCAAAGACTGATAGATTTTGACAAGTTTTATTTATTATTGTCTCAATATAATTTATTATTGTGTGCAATTCGAGCTTTTACAGTAACATATATACATCAGAATAACATAATAATGAGCTATAATTTATAACGGTCCGTGACAAACTGAATTACGAAGGTGAAGCCGCGGGCCAGCTAGTTATTTTAGAAAACTCGATTGCTCGATTTGTTACGAAATCATTTTTTTAATTCAATTGAAACATTGATAACCATAGAACCGATAAAGATAGCATTGTGACTAAAAGATTCGAAGTAGACTTAGAAGTACTCGTAGATAGATTCTTTAAACAGTCATGTATCCCACTTCTAATTATATTTTTTCTCATTAGGTGGAATGCTAAGTTCCCTAGGGCCGCCCTTAACACCAGGAACCTTGGGACCACTCACACCCGGCACGCTACTGCAAGGCGGCATCACGCCAGGAGGCCTTCAGCATGGTTCCATGACTCCAGGTAAGTCATAATCAACGACTTCTATATCTTTGAAACAAATAGGTTGTTAAAAGTTAAACAAAAGACTATCGTTAAATTACACTTATAAATGGGGAATAAGGCAACAGAGTTCACCATACCCGCCAGCAAAATGAAAACAGTAGCTGTTCCATACCAGAGTTGCTATTGATTCAACTAAAATTTATCCAACACCTGATTCTCATTGACACCAAAACTGCAAATTTGACAAAGCTGTTAAATAACCTTGTGTACGAAATGATTGACGCTGTTCCCTTCTTCTAATCTCCCATCTCAGCTATACTAATGCAACTTATTATCAACAGGTGGTTTACAACACGGTGGCATGACGCCAGCGGGCTTACAACACGGCGGAATGACGCCTGCAGGGTTACAACACGGTGGAATGACGCCAGCGGGTCTCCAACACGGAGGCATGACGCCAGCGGGACTGCAACACGGCGACCAACCTGTGGACTTAGGGTTGGGCGGTGGCATGACCCCAGCTGGCTTGCAGCATGGAGGTATGTTTGGGAATAAGAAACAGCAGGGCTACTCCGAAATACTTTTTTTTTATGCTAGACAAGGCAGGTATTTGACCGCAATCGCACCTGGTGTTAAGTGTACTGTATACGTAGTTTCGAGTCTATCTGTCACCGTCGTTCATGCAGGCATCTCGCGTGAGAGGGATGACAATATTCGATCGAAACTTCCGATAACCTTTTTCGCAGGAATCCCACTATACCTTACCTTACTCTAGTTTAGATTTCAATAGTATTAGTAGCATCACCATCTTAAGGTCATTTGATCTCGACTACAGAAGAAAAACACGACCCTTTCTAATTCCTCATAGACAACAGTATTCGGAATGTAGATTACACCCTGTAAACAGCTTATTATTTGTGTCTGGTAATGATTTACAATTTTTTTATTTATAAACATCACATTTTCAACCGGTAGTGACGGTTAGAGTTTTTAATACGGTGTTTTTTGTCGCAGGCATGACTCCAGGAGGCATGACACCTGGACCTTACTCTAGTTTAGATTTCAATAGTATTAGTAGCATCACCATCTTAAGGTCATTTGATCTCGACTACAGAAGAAACACGACCCTTTCTAATTCCTCATAGACAACAGTATTCGGAATGTAGATTACACCCTGTAAACAGCTTATTATTTGTGTCTTGTAATGATTTACAATTTTTTTATTTATAAACATCACATTTTCAACCGGTAGTGACGGTTAGAGTTTTTAATACGGTGTTTTTTGTCGCAGGCATGACTCCAGGAGGCATGACACCTGGACTAGGATTAGACAGCGGAATGACACCAGGAGGTCTGGTACACGGCGGTTTAACACCCGCTGGCTTACATCACGGCGGCATGACACCAGGTTTGTATTTTTCGTGTTGAAATTAAGTGTACAAAAAATAGTTACAGTAGACAATCTCAAATTGACATATTATCGTAAAAAACTGTTTTTTCTCACCGGCAATGAGTTGAATGTTAGGTTAGGTTCTGCAAAAAGTGCGTAGGTTTGCTTACAGCTAAAGTACGGCTAACTAGCAGCGATACAAAAGGTCGATTCGACTGTCGAATTGACAATCTATTCCGTCTCTTCCTATCTTGTGTATTTGTCGTAATGTCTCGTTCTCCCGCCAAAATATGCCAAACTTAGACGGGTTCGTCAACATTCGGAATTTCGGACATCAATTTTCAAATTATAACAAAAACAAAATTCGATAAAACATCTATTTTTATGGTTTGACAGATATTTTTTAAAACTATATTGTCTACAAAAATATGTAATCTAACTATTAAAAAGTTATGCACCCCTGCTAATCCAAATGACCATGACATTGGGTTTGTTTCTTGGACGAATAAACCACTNCAAGGTTTGTTTACATTTGGTATCGCTTCTCGTTGGCCGTACTTTAGGCTCAATAAGATGCACGTTATCCCAGCCGTGTAAAATTATCCTAGTGTATCACTAAAATTTCAATGTTTTCAGGTGGATTAGACCATGGTGGCATGACCCCAGGTGGCTTAGGGCACGGAGGTATGACGCCCGCCGGCTTAGGGCACGGAGGCATGACGCCGGCCGGGCTACAACACGGTGGAATGACGCCTGCGGGGTTACAACACGGCGGCATGACGCCAGCGGGGTTGCAACACGGAGGAATGACTCCATCGGGTAAGTTACTAAGTAATCATATTACAGTATGTGTATAGATTGTGATAACTGTGATCAATGTTGGTTTAAAAGTCACTCGTACGATTGGTAAAACTATTTTCTTGGTCTCATGACAGATGTTTCGTTCGTTCGTTTCAGCCAAATGACGTCCACTGCTGGACAAAGGTTTTCCATAATGAACGGCCTGCGCTGCCCGCATCCAGGTTCAATCTGACGCCGATTTAATCTGAATTAATCAGATCATTCAGACAGAAACATCTGCTTTCTTGTAATCGTCAATCGATTATCGTCATAAATGTTAGTGAAAAATATTTAGTTCAGCTCAGTTGGTAAATTCAGTGCTGTAACTTGTCTTTAATATGCCCATTCCAAGCTTCTGTAACTGTGAACCCTTAAAAATGTTCACGTCTTCAGTCATTCAGGTTTGTTCTGCGAACTGTGCCTGAACACCGTTCGCATCGCCCTAGTTACGTCCTACATTTTAGTCTTGTGGATCCTTTTAAGAGCGTTTACGCCGTTTGGCGCAAAAACAGTACTTTTTCAACTCGTTACAATCATTAACCAGTTACATTACAAATATGTTATAGGCATAAATAATTAGGCAATTTCGTCGTCTAAATAGTTAGTTGAGAAAATATTTCGATTAGTGTAGTATTTAAGAATTCTATCAAGATAAGTCCACACAGGTTTTCAAATTTCCACTTTAGCGTCAGTTTACAAGCTGAATTTTTTAAAAAAATACTGTGAAAACGATATAACAAACATTATTTTATATCCTATAGCATAGGTCCTTAGGCAAATAGTTGAGAAAATTCTTAGATTTATTAGTTCTTAAATTCAAAGAATGTGAAATACCCAAAAATCAAAATTTTTACACCATTATTATTCTTTAATTCAACATAAAAATAGCTTAATATAATAAAATAACATCTTCTTTAAAATATTTACTTTGAAACGATATATAATTCATTGTTATTGTTTTGCTATAAACATTTGAAAACTATTAAAAAACGCCGCGCGCGAATCATTTCCAATAATGCCCCTTGAAACGCCGCGCTTCGCGTAAACGCTCTTAAGTCTCGAATAAAGTTTGCTAAAGGCCTCTTGTTGCGGCAGGGCTACAACACCTTATTTCTTCTCCCTTAAGGTCTACAATAAAGTCTCTCTTTGTCCATAGAAATGGGTTATACTAGGTATAGCCTGNCGCTTTTTCAACGTGCCATGTTATAAATAGCTTTTAAAAACAAATGATCAACTTGACGTTGTTGTCACGATGACCGTTCCCGATGGATGTTTCTTCATTCAAAAAGCACTTTCAACAGTTGACACTGAAAAGGACCTGGCTAATGACACTTCATTAAAAAATCATTCTGACATTACAGCCGATGTCATAAGGCGTCGCGCGGGAAACTCGGGGGCGTGGCGCTCGACCAATCAGCGCCGCGGAAATTACCTAATTGTTACGTGACTGGCCAATCAGAACGCGGGAAATTATTCAATCATTACGCGGGCAGCCAATCGTGAGTGAGTTACGTAAAGTCGGCGTGGAAATTGTAGGCGTATATTTGTTTTCACGGTTAGGTGTGTTTTAGTCTTTTAGTAATTGTGAAGGTGCCCTGAATAGAACTTGACTTTCAAAGGCGTGATTTTCAGTGTTATTACGTGAAAATAAAAAGAAAATTTAGTAAAAACAACAGAAATACTTTTACCTATCAAACACATAGCAGAAACGTGGATTTTACTTAGATAATAACAACAAACTTTAATTAAGTCGTAAGAAATCGAAAAGTTTAAAGAGTTTAAAAATTTGAATTTTAAAGAATTCCCCAAAGTTCAGTTATTTTCAAAATATCGACAGTTGCTGAAACCTGACGCGGGAAAAAACTTCTATTTAAAAACCAATGTGATTCAATAAAAAAAAAAATTACATTGAATGGATCTATTTAGATTTTTAAAAATTTTAAAATAGACCTTACGTAATTTACCTAAGTTCAATGTAAAGTTTCTCAAATTAAAAGATAGTTCTTCTCGCGAAAGAATAGTATATGAAAACCCAATTTATGAACCAAAGTGTACTCTAATTCGTTGGACATAGAATATAGTTCTGCTCACAAAAGAATAGCTTTATAAAAGCTGTTTAAAGACCCAATTATGGACTAAAGTGTTAACTCGTTGAACTGAAGTCGATAACTACTTAAGTAGTTCTTCTCGCAAAAAAACTGAAGACGAAGGATAAGTACAGTTTTTCTCTCGTAAAAACTGTTTTCTAAAGGCTGTATAAAGACCCAATTATGGACCATAGTATACTTTAACTCATAGTTTCTTAACCTTTTACACGGACCCTAAAAGAAATCAAGCACAGTTTTAAGGACCCCCTAAAAAAGGCAGCAATAAATCTTGATTACAAAACTTTTTTGGCATTAACTTACGATTGTTAAATGGTCCATAGATAAGACTGCGGACCCCCAGGGGTCCGCGGACCATAGGTTAAGAAACACTGCTTGAACTGAAGACCACAATGGAGCAGACTGTGCCGACCAGTTTGTACGAGGTTGAGCCGTGTGCTGGACAGCACAGCGCGCTGGCTGCATTACGGCTGCTGAGGAGTTACAACCATCTGCTGGTGCCGCCTGGTGAGACAACTCTTTTTTCTAAGGCTGAGTTGCACCACCTTACTTTAACTATAACCATAACCGGGTTTTTTGTATGGAATTTGACATAATCTTGACGTTTATTAAAGTTAAAGTAAGATGGTGCAACCCAGCCTAAGACGTTTTGAGCACTGGCTGTATTCGCTGCTGAGAAGTTATAACCACCTGGTGCCGCCTGAAACAACTCACTCTTTATTTTGTACTATGCGTTCCAAAGGCTCTAGGGGCTTGTACCCACGGTCAAGATTTTTGCAGGATGCCGTTTAGTAGGATACCTACGTGTTTTAATATTATTCACATAAACATCCAGTGCAGTGTCCCGTAAAAAAACGATCCGTTCGATGTATCTTTTTCATCTCAATACATCCGGCCCGAAGGTCTATGTAGAGGGCTGTATGATGTTATGTCACTATTTAAAGTATATTTGGCACACCCCACATTTTGGTTAATAATTTGTAAGGATAAATCTATAAATCCTTCATTTTATTAATTACGTAAAGTATAACGATAAAAAAACATGTTGCTGATACTCGTACTTAACTAAAAAAATATTAATCCTAATAAGGCTGCTGAAGAGTTTTATTTGCTGGTGTCATTTTGGTAATGCAATCCTCCCATTTAGTGGCTTGCCTTTTTTTTCTTCATCGGAAATACCATTAAATTACTTGACCCACTAGTCTGGGGGGACCAGAGGGTTATGTGGAGCTCACCTTGCAAGATGGGCAGGGTCTATATCTACTATACAGTGTGAGTCACGTTAAAGTGTACATATGAAAATAGATAAAACTAGACCTTTTTTATCAACAAAAAAGAGGTCAAATTTTTTTTCAGATTTTTTTTAAAAAAATTATAGAATTTTTTTTTCTTCCTATTACTTATTGTAAAGAAAACGTAATAACTTTTAAACTAAGCGGTATATCCTGATAAAATAAAAACAGTAATAATGCTAAATAACAGGCGATACTAAAAAATACATAAAATACACAAAAAAGGCCAACAAATAATGAAAAAATTTACTTTTTGAAAAAAAAATGCTTTTAAATTCGTGTTTTTTTGGTCATTTCATAAATTTCTCCAAAAATGCCCCTATAACTGGTGGTTTTTATTACTTTGTATTATTCTCTATCGTATTACCTTCGTAAAACGTTTGCAATGATCGTTTGAACTAAGCCTCTTCGGGCGCGCCATTCAACGCTTCGTTAACAGCGAAACTGAAAATGGCTCTAGATTTGTAATTTTGATAAAGACAAGTTAGATTTCAAATAAAAACAAAAGATTTCGAAGTAAAATAAGCATTTTAGTTAAAATTAAAATTGTCTCTACCTGTAGCGGAGAATAATGTTGTGGCAGGCCTTTGTTCAAACGATCATAGCAATAGGCTAGTTGCCTAAAAAAATTTTTTTAGTCCGTAATGTTTAATATCAAAAAATATTGGACACATATATTTTTATTTGTCAATCTAACAAATAATTACATAGTTATGGTGCGTTGAAGTTGCGCACGACGTCACAACGTGCGGCATTTTTAAGCAAGCGTTGACGTCACGGGCCTCTTCTTATGAACTTTAGGGCGCTTTATCTCTTTAAATTTTCATTAGTTTGAAAAAGTGAAAAATACCTGTAGAGTATTTTTTTATAAGTTAACTGACGGACTAATTAAAACTCTTGCTTTTTAACCCAGGCAACATCCCCATTGTTGTGATAGGGATAGAGACATGTAATTTTTGATTTTACAAAGATTTTAGCAAAGAAAATTCAGGAAAAATTTCAACAGAAAAGCGGGAAAATTCCACGCGGGCGAAGCCGCGGGCGGAAAGCTAGCCTACTTACTAAAAACCTGACGCGACGGTGTCCTCCAAAGTCTTTGGGACGGAACTGCGAGCCTCTGCCGCCGGCTTTTGATCAATCGGGACCACTTGTGATGTCCAGACCCCTTTATAGCGGAAAAACCGTTCGCTATTGTTTACTTTTCAGCAAGGACAAAGAGGCAGACCATAGCGAAGAAAAATAAAGTAAATAGTTAAGAGAGAAAAAAGCCGCACAGAAAGGATGCCTACAAATAAACCAGTCTGTTTTGTATATTTAACTAGAATTATTGTTGAAATATTTTTCATGGCAGGTTTCGAGAAATTGTTTGAATCTGGGGTACGTAGTTACCAAATACGTGGTCAAGATTTGTATCAATTTTACGCGTTCGAAGCTGCGGGCAAAAGCTACTACTTATACTACAGTGTTATAAAAAATACTTCTTCATACATTTCCTTCCTCAAATTCCACATATAACCTTTATTTAACCTAATGACATGTAATGATGTGCGAACTATCGACCGTGCCCTAAACCAACACAGGTGATGGTTCCCACTGATCACGGCGGGTAATTGTAATTTGGGGTAATGATGTGGGTAGACCGCATCGTATACCGCATAGATTGTAGGTTTTGAAAAACAAAAAGTAAATTGGAGACTTTAATAGGTCGTCAGCGATCTATGGAAAGGTAGGCGGCTAAGAGGCTATTCAGCAAAAAGACAAAAAGAAAGAAAGTCATTCCTAAGTCTGTACCACAACAGCAATGTTAAAGCATTGAAAAGTGTTTCGGCAGTTGGAGGTAAGATAGCCAGTTCCTCTATTGTTGAGGATTCCGAGTGAAGCTAGCTTTCACCTTCGGCCTGATCATCACTTTCCATGAGGTGCATTTTTGCTTGTTAGAAGCGGCCTATCATCCAGCGCCTTCCCACAATCTTTAAAAGGTCATCTTTCCACTTGCTGGGTACCCAGCCACATGGACATCCACGTTGCGCCAGAACCTTGCTGCGCGCTGACCTAGCCCAACGGATTTTGCAAGCTGAGGTGCCAATATAGCACGGAGAAAGAACAAAATAATGACCAAAAATAATAGAAAACCCTAATTTAATGACAAAGACTGGCCATTAGCCATTACACAAAGACAAAAAGGCATATAAAACATTAAAAAGCAAGAACAAATTGTACCGAGCAGTGCCACCTTGTAGCAATAGCGATACCTACTCATTGCCATACTTATCTCTGGTAGAACAGTAAGTTGGATGGTGATGGTGAAAGGTGAATTGAACAGGTAGACATGAGATTTATGGATTCTTCAAACAAATGCCACGCGCCAATATTACATTTATTTGTCCAAACCATTGACTTAAAACATTATTGCTCGATAATAGTCCCTATTACAATTCCATAAAGGACCTTGTGCTTGATGAGCTGTTCGTCCATCATTTGGGGTAGCATGAAGCGGCGTCAGCGAAGGGCGGATTGGGCAATTAATGGTGCTAGATAATAACATATAATTGCACTTCGTTTGCGAGCGTGGACCCTACCACCGGATTGATTCGAAAAGCAGTCAATTCTACTTTGTTTTCCAAAGCAAAATGTAGCCACTGGCTAGGACAAAGGCCATTTTTCGTTTAGAAACAGCATTCATATATATCGCCGACTTTGTCATCCGAGGAATGCTCTACCGCTGGACTATTGTGGCTATTATTGTGGTGAACCCACTTGAAACACAAGCATTTTAGCTGACAACGGCAAATAAGTAGTTAGTTACCTACCTAATCCTACAAGAGTCAAAAAACAGTCCTAAAACTCGTAACATCGTTCCATCCACGAAGACGCGCCCCAACATTCTTCCGCTAATGTTTGAGTGTTATCGGTATGCGCACACTACTTAGTTACAATAATGACGCTCGGATTGCTCGGATCAAACTTCCCGCACTGCGCTCTTCCCTCAACCAAACATTGGTGGGGCGCGTCTTCATGGATGGAATGATATAGCAGGAAGGCGCTGGATGCAGGCGGCTACCAAAACCTTTGTGGGGAAGGCCTATGTTCAGCGGTGGACGTCCTATGGCTGAAATGATGATGATGATGAAAACAAATATTTAAAAAACCCAAATGTAAACAGTAGTAAGGGCGCGACCTCCGACCTGTGACCGGGCGCCCGCGATTAACCAGGTGCCGCTTCGCACGCAGGTGGCTACCCGATTTGATTTCCGCGGACAGAGACCATGCTTTGGAAAAATTTAGGACTAACCTGAGAGCTCGTAGAGCTGGGGCAGAAAAGTTATCGAGTGGCGACCACGGGCAGGAAGACGTAGTGTGGGCAGGCCCCCCACTAGGTGAACCGACGATCTGTTAAGGGTCGCAGGAGGTACTTAAATGCATGCAGGCATTGCAGGATGGGTCGTTGTGGAAATCCTTGGGGGAGGCCTTTGTCCAGCAGTGGACGTCATTTGGCTGAAACGAACGAACCTAAAACTAGGCAAAGTAGAAAGAAGAAGAAAAATAAAGTTTCTATTGTTATTTTATGTAAAATTTTTAGGAAATGCGTCGTTTGGTCGTAGTCCCGTAACGTTCGTAGTCCTGTAACACTCGTAGTTCGTAACTATCTTCTCGTAGTTCGTAGCAGACTACGACAATACTACGAGTTTTGTTGTTTTTCCAACAAATGAAACCGAATCTTATAGATGTAGTTATTAGTGATTTCAGTAAATCTAGCTTTGTTTGCAAAGGATTTTTAAAGATTCTGAGATTAGATAGAGAGTATTGCGCCAATAAAAGTGGTTAAATACCGACATCCTGAAACATCCTGTTAATTCCTGTTCAAAACTCAATTATTTGAAAGTCTTAAAAGTCCCACAATTTCAAACAGCATGGTTTCACCACAGCAGGTGCGATGACACTGCATTTGACAGCTTGCGCTCGCGCTCATATGACAGCTCACAAGATGGCGGACTGATAGCGTAATTTTGGGAATACTACAAGTGTTCGCGATTATGTGCGTTTTAATCACGCCTAATCGTTTTGTCAATTACCCTTTTTTAATGTTTGATAGGGTGAAGGGTCATGGTTTTTGCTGACTAATATAAATAGTTTCTTAGCTATGGGACGCAGGTGTCACCATTTTCTATCGTTTCAGCTTTTAAACTCCTGTCTACGCTTTTAAACTACTGAACCAATTTTGATAAGATTTTAGGGGCTTACGCCCGTATTCACAAACATTACTATGAGGTCTCACAGTACGCGTGGACGCACAGGGTGAACACACGAAACAATCACAGAGCTCTATTCAACGCTGTGCGTTCGATTTGCTGCGTCACTTAAAGCAAGCATCGTTTGTAAATACGGCCAAGGGCCCACGACTCTATTGTTCTTCTTTTCACAAATTTTAAACATAGGTAGTTGTTACTAAGAAAATGATTTTTTTAATATCGTGGGACTCGTGGACCCGTTGGGAATCAAAGTATGGACTTACAATTTTTGAAAACAATAGAGCTGTGGACCTTTGGGAATAAGCCAGTTTAGGGTAACTAATTTGGTAAATTCAATTCAATTAATGTTAGATAGTTGTGTATTCTTTCAAATGTTTTGAACTTATTATTTAAGGAAAGGAAGAATACGCTCGATTATAGTTATATGGGGAATTCTTTGCTAAATTGATTCGTTGAGATATTGAACATAAGATCATAAGATTCTGAAATAAAAGTGCCACCCTAATCAACTAATAAGTTTAATAATGTCTTCCAACAAAAAGTCATTATTTTGTTTGCCGAAAAATCATATTTTTAAGTGTTATTCAAATATTTATGGGNTTAGGCGGTTTCTGACAATGTCCTTTGATACTAGGTGCACCTATTCCTAGTATTTATTAATACTCGATCCAAATACCTATTCCACCTAGTACGTAGTAATTTAGCATACTTGACGCGACTAGTGCGGACTAATCCACGTAATATGACTTTAAAATACATTTTTTTTGAACAACCGTAGTATGAATAATGCAATTTGAAATTTATTTATTTATTTATTTATTTAAGGCTCACAAAACAAGTTACAGTCATATTCAGGCATAGATAATATTCCATAGATATATTGAATAATAATTCCTCCCTTCATACTTCAACAGGCTGACTGTCAACTTAAAAGTTGGCGTATTTAAAAGACATCAATTTCATAAAAATATTTACATATTTTTTCTTATTTACATGAATATGGTTTGACTACGTTTGTGTGCGTTTGCTTCGTCGCGCTCAAATTTGTTTGGTCAGACAGAGACGGAGTGAATCTCTACGTTCGCACATAAGCTTAGCGAGAAATACTAGGTGCGCGTAATACACGACTACGGATTACGCAATAGTAACCTCTATTAATTTGAAGATAGGGTCGGAAATCGTGTAATTTATAAAATACTAGGTGGATCAAGTATTTAAAAAATTGGAATAGGTGCCACCTAGTACTGTAAAATACCTAGTGTTCTAGTAAATACGTCTCATCTCTATTTGTCCAGGGCTGCAGCACGGCGCGATGCTGCACGGCATGGAGCGGCTGCCGATGCTGCCGCAGCTGGGCGCGGAGCCGGCGCCGCTGCTGGCGCCCGCCGCGCCGCTAGAGCCGCTCATACCAGGCCTCGAGCACGCCGACTACCAGGTCAGGGGACAAACTATAACGGAATATACAGCAGAACGTTTTTTGGCGAAAAGGACATCATCCACGTTTCATATACACCACTAAATTTTTATCACCGAAAAAAAAAATTCTGGGTAATGAGTTATTGATACTGATCCCATTTGTGCAAAAAAGTAGTTAAATAAAGTGACTCAAAATTTCCTCCGAAAATTGGTAATTTATGGACACATGCGTCGCTAGCACTATTTACGTATGTAACACTTATTAGAATTCAGAATGGTCTAAGTTAGCTAAGTATGTAATAATAACACTGGAAGCTTTGTCGAGGCGTGAGCGAGACAGACAGATCGATGCAACGTGCGAGAGTGTACGACTACTCTAGCGAGCAGCGGAGTGACAAAGCTGTGACGCATAAAATACGGACTAAAGGAAATTTAATAAAAAAATTAACTTTATGAAAAACATTTCTTTTTCTTTTGCTTTAAATATTTCACACGTTTCTACATAACCTGTTAAAATTTTTTCGGTGATAAAAATTTTGTGGTGTATTTTTGGTCCAAAATCAAAAGTGCCGGCCAACAAAAAAAAGTGCTGTATTCTGACAGAATACGTCTGCCTTAGCATTTGTTACTATGGCACCAAAGCCGTAGCTCCACTGTGCGTCGAGTATTTGAGATCTAAAAGTCATCGACTATTCATACATTTTTTGTTCAAAATCAAAAGTGTCGGCCAATACAAAAAAAGTGCTGTATTCTGATAGAATACGTCCGCCTTAGCATTTGTTACTATGGCACCAAAGCCGTAGCTCCACTGTGCGTCGAGTATTTGAGATCTAAAAGTCATCGACTATTCATAAATTTTTTGTTCAAAATCAAAAGTGTCGGCCAATAAAAAAAAGTGCTGTCTTCTCACAGAATACGCCCGCCTTAGCATTTGTTACTATGACACCAAAGCTGTAGCACCACTGTGCGTCGAGTATTTGAGATCTAAAATTCATCGACGATTCATACATTTTTTGTTCAAAATCAAAAGTGTCGGCCAATAAAAAAAAAGTGCTGTCTTCTCACAGAATACGTCCGCCTTAGCATTTGTTACTATGGCACCAAAGCTGTAGCACCACTGTGCGTCGAGTATTTGAGATCTAAAATTCATCGACGATTCATACATTTTTTGTTCAAAATCAAAAGTGTCGGCCAATACAAAAAAAGTGCTGTATTCTGACAGAATACGTCCGCCTTAGCATTTGTTACTATGACACCAAAGCTGTAGCACCACTGTGCGTCGTAGTATTTGAGATCAAAGTCAGTCGTTTCATATATTTTTAGAACTCAAATACTACGATGCACAGTGGTGCTACAGCTTTGGTGCAATAGTAATAAATGCTAAGGCGGACGTATTCTATCAGAATACAGCACTTTTATTTTTTGGCCGGCACTTTTGATTTTGGACCAGAATGGATGATGTCCTTTATACTATACAGCAGCGGTTTCCAAACTTATTTTGTTTACTGCCCACTTTGAGAATAAATTCTTTTTAGCGCCCCCATTTGTAGTCGAGAGTCGAGTGCTCAGTCGGTGTCTTAGAGTCCTCCTAGTAAATGACGCCTCCCAAGCCTCTACACAACGTCCCGATTTTTTTTTGGGTCTCTTACCGCCCCCCTTTAAGCCTGCAGCGCCCACAAGGGGGCGTTATCGCCCACTTTGGGAAAGACTGCTATACAGGGTGTGGTTTTGTAAAACAACACATGAAAGTAATCACAAGAAAAATATAAACAATTTTAACTGTTTCTTTATTAGTAAAAAACTTTGTTCAAAAATCTCCTAAAACTTTCGAGACGGTGTTTGTTACCGCCCGCACCACCCCCGCGTACCCCGCTACACCACCGAGCACATGCGGGTGAGCAGAGAAGGAACTGACTGATAGCTCGCCCGCGTAATAATACCATTTTCCTAATTTCATGAATTTTTCCATGAAAATTAATAAAACAAATAATGTTTTTTTGGCATCAGTGTCGTGTATACTACCACCCGTGAGATGGCGTTGTTTTACAAAATCACACCCTGTATTTACATCAAAACACCTTGGCGAAAAGTCACGCCTATTAGAACTACACAAGGAGCTGGCTCACTGCAGCAGTGCGTGAGAGTATTGTGAAAAACCCGGAGCTCGGACATTCCATGCTACGCAATGTCGTGGCAGCACTGCTGCTACGTGCAGCGGAGTTCGGAATCATACGTGAACCCTTAACTGACAATTTGATTGTTTTTTTTTTGATTGCCAATAATTTACTGCAAAAACGGCTTTGCAACATTCTATAGTATCTCTAATATTATTGTTTTTTTTTTGTTACAGACCAGTATGCACATGACGAATTATTTAGGATACGACGATCAACACCCTCATCAAAGTCCACAGCACGACTACGATTTACCACCAACACCAGAAAATGTGAGTATCAAGATTCAAATATCAATTTTTATTGCCAAGAGTTTTTTTGTACCCTCAAGTATGAAGAAATACCAAATTTAATTAAAAAGGCTCAATTTAATTTAGGCCGACTCATCTCTTCCATTAAATCCAAGAAGGGTTCTGTTGGTATAGTAGTTCTTGCAACTCACGAAGGCGAGTGAGCTTTACTTGTGTGTGTAGTGTACGTTACACAAACGATTTGTGTAATGTCAATCAAAACTTTTGAAAAACGAACAGTAGCGAGCCACCACACATGTAAAGCTCACTCGCCTTTGTGAATTGCAACAACAATACTTTTATTGAAACGGCACGATATAGGCGGTCTCATCTCCTTCATGTAATCCAAGGTCCTCCCTGGATTAAACTCATTGACCTGAACTGAATTGATCAAACACACTGGACTGGCTGCTGTCATAATATTTTTGTGTCTATTTGAGGGTCGCCATTTTGGCGCTGTAGGCCATACTGTAGGCAGATACGAGTGTCCATGGAACTAAAATTAGTAATGTTCTTTCTGGCTTACTCGTATCAGTATGGTTAGGTACTCCATACAATGTACGTCCAAATTATTTCTCGGGACAATAGTAGTGGCGCTTCAAATTGGCACACAAAATAATCGTTCAAATTGATTTATAATCGGCGGAGATATTGCGTATAAAAAAGTTCGTCCCCAATTTTCCACGCTTGGGGATTGTTTTTTCTATTATTAAATTTAAATGGGACCACCCTTGAGGTATCACCTATACGCCGAAAAACGATTTGTTCAAATCGGTTCATAATTGGCAGAGTTATCGCGTAACAAACATAGAAAAAAAAAACATACGGGTTGAATTGGGAACCTCCTCCTTTTCAACCGACTTCAAAAAAAGGAGGAGGTTCTCAATTCGACCCGTATGTTTGTTACGCGATAACTCCGTCAATTATGAACGGATTTGAACAAATCTTTTTTGAAGTCGGTTGATTAACTGTCATTTGTATGAGACAGCCTGTCCAGTGTTTATTAGTGGTCAGCGATTAGACTAAATATTGCTAAATGTGTTGCTTTTAACCTCAGGCGGAGGAGGGTGAGCGCGAGGCGGGCGAGACAGACGAGCAGTTCGAGGAGCGCGTGCTGAACAGACGCGCGGCGCAGCTGTTCGCCGTCATGCGGCCCAAGCTCGCCGCCGGCCTGCGCCTCGCCTTCGTCGACCTGGCGCCCGCGCACAACAACAGGAAGCAGGTAGGCACTGTCTCTGTTTGATACCTAAAACTTAGGCTGAGTTGCACCACCTAACTTTGATCGTAACTTTAAACGATAACCGGTGTTTTTGTATGGAGTTTGACAGATTTTTGATGTTTGTCAAATGATGCAACCCTGCCATAGTTTTGAACTCCTATTTTAAAATACTGCGAAACGGGGATTATTCAAGTCTCTCCATAACATAGATTTTATTTCTCTTTGAACTGGTGAACTTTTTTAGTAATTTGGCCTAACTTCGTCAAATTTTGTCGTAGAAAATTTTTGGACTGTGTATTAGGATTTCGTAGGCCTATTAATTTGCATCAACAACTACATTCTGCATTAGCACATCGACTTGCACAGAAGATATGACACGAGAACTTATCTTCCTCATCAGCCAAGGCACATAATAATTAGGCCCCGCCTACTGCCACTAGAGCTTGGCAATATTACGATTGTGTGAAGTGTGCACTTTTATAATACCTACTAATTTTACGTTGCAGGTCGCGCAGAAATTCTACAGTCTACTTGTCCTCAAGAAACATCAAGTATTGAAAATAGAGCAGCACGAAACTTACGGACCTATCACTATCTCTAAGGGCGACCAGTTCGAAACTGAAGCTATTTAATTGATGTACGGAATTCTTAATTATTTTATGTTTATTTATATTGTATAAAATATACAGTCCCACGAGCACAGCAATACTTCGATTGCTGTGCTTGCGGAACACTTGAACACAGTGAAAGAATATCAAATTAGTTTTTAAATGATGGGTATACTGAGAATGATGGTTAGATGTAAAGTAAGCTAGGGAACTAGATTGAGCCAAAAATAATTAATTGTGTAAGTCGACCTTATGACTGGAGTTTGCGGAAGCGTTTACTTTTTTATCATTCGGACCAATAATATTACGAGTTTTGATCTCATGAAAACAGTTTGTGTAACAAAACTAATTAATTTCTGCGGACTCCAGTCATGAGCGAATGTGCGTCTTGACTCAAAAATTATGTTCAATTCATGTGACTGTAGGAGATGCCTTATTTTGTTTTGCTGTAGGTATGTATAGTGAAATATTATATCAGTATACAACTTTGCGGTCCCTTTCAGTGCGCTGCGTTTATACCAAACTCTGCGCCGGAGTACCTAGCAAGAGTTGTCGCTAAATACACGAGTAAATCGTTATTGTTGTCATAGCTTATCTATGTTTAATTAAAGTTTGCAACCATAGAAGAAATAGTGTTATATTGTTAATTCTGTGAATTCCAAAACTAAGTAAGCATTGTATTTTGGGACGCTGGGGTGTCGAGAGAAATAATATTGTGTTATGATTTTTAAAATAAGTATTTATAGAGTATTTTCTCAAGGAAGTGTAGACATAAAACAAATCTTATTTGTTGTGCCTTGTTAAATTAGTTTTATGGTTTTTCGATAATGCTTTGGTAAATTATGTAGGGTTTTCCTTCACTACTTAATGTTTAGGTCAGTACCTGCGACTGAATGTTGTGATAGTGCTAGCTGAACACTATGTGGAAATCTTAATTAGGACGACATTCTATGCGATAAATCATGTACAAGTATTTTAGTTATATTTACCAACATTAAATCGGCGGGCAATGAATAGATACTATCAAGAAAAATGATGCTTGTTATGTGATTGTGTAATGTGTGTGAAGCTGGACGTATATGATTTTACATTTCTTTGAGAACATTGTGCTATTTAATTTAACAAAGTGAATGCTTACTATGAAATGCTGGTTTGTATTCATTTTGTAGTCAAACCCAAGTCAATATTTTGGAAATTCAGACATAAAGCATTAAGAATGCCACATTAAAATGTAATAACTTGTAAACAAAATTTAAGATATCATCTCCCATGCGAGATCTGATCAATATCAATCTATCATAGGAGGTATTTTCTTATTTTGTGCAACAAAACATACTTGCAATATGTACCTAATAAAAATTTGTTGATAATAAAAGTATTTTCATTCCTATTTAGACTATTTTTTAACCTTATCCCCAAAGCGAATTCACAAACTTATTATGTGCCACGTTCGTTTCGTTCGTGTGCGAAGTGCGAGTCGGACTCCCGCACGAAAGGGTTCGTACGACGCTTTTGTTATTGTTTGGAGCAAGCCTGAGGGCTTACTCCAAACGTTGGATTGAGATCCATACAGGATTAAATCTTGGCACGCTCTTTATATCCAGTATATCAGGGGTGGCCAACCGGTCGATCGCGACTAAGTCCAGTCGATCGTGGCAAGGCAAAAAATACCACACGATTGTTTACTGAACTATGCTGTTTCATTTAAGATTTCAAGAAGTATGTAAGTGTGGTAGATCACCCAGGGTTTCGTTAGAAAACAGTAGATCTTATGTTAATCAACCCCTGCAGTATAGCATATCTCTGCATCGAACAAGCAAGTAGGTTTGTCATAGATTTTATTTGCAGGTCTGTAGGACAACGGCCCGTCACCCCCCGTGGTCATACTACACTCGCGAGGAAAAAAGTATGGAATCACTCTATTTTTTCCGAATGATCGTTATAACTTAAAAGCCTAAAAGAAGATGAAAAAAAATGGTACCATTTTGAAGGTAACACAAATTCGTTTCATACATGCATAGGCATCGAGTTCTTATGATGGCTCCGAACAAAACGCTAGTCTAGTGTTACCATACCATACTTTTGCTCGTAAGTATAGGAAACGTCTGTCGCACCTTACCGTTGTGGAATAAGCCCCCGTTGTCCACTCCACCTTATGGGGGGGGGGACGACAACGAGAAGTAATTTTGATTTGCATTTTATTCTATTCCCTTTGGAATACAGGATCTCTACGTCCTCCAATTTGTGTGGATATCAGAATTAAAATTTATTTTCCACTGTACCATCAAGGGAACAGCCAAGGGTACACAGGAAAATAAGGGTATTTTCCTGTGTACCCTTATTTTATACACCACTAAATTTTTATCACCGAAAAAATTTTAACAGGTTATGTAGAAACGTGTGAAAAACTTAAAGAAAAAGAAATGTTTTTCATAAAGTAAANTAAAAAAACTTGTTCAATTACAATGTTTTCATTCATACCTACCTATTTTAACATAAGACAGATAAATTAAACATACTATTACAGAAAAAAAAGAATCCTATACTATCCTAAGAATTTTATTATTGATTACCTACATGGCCAACATACCTTTCAGCATCTTTGGGAAGCGAAAAAAAAAGATAAATCCGGTAATTTCTTTTCGAATTTAAACACCCGCACAATATTTCTTTCTCTTTATGTCCATTCTTAAATAATACTTCGATCATAGAATTATAATCATACTAAAACGCAAGCCAGCGTCCTGACGGGCGAGCGCGTGACACTCGACTGATATAATACCCGCCGGCGGGGCGCTTCGCTGTAGGTAATTATCGGATGTACCACGCGGAGTGAGCCAGGCCTGACTAAATTAACTAATTAATTTTAATAAAAAAATTAAAACGACTCCAAAAAACCTGCACTAAAAAGTAGAAAATAATTACCATTATTTATTTATTAGGACATTTTTTTTGTGAATTTTATCATGGAAGCTAATTGCATTGACGATGATATAGCTTGTTTTATTGAGAGGAATGGCGGTATTGTTTTATTACATGATGGTCGACAGTACTACAATTATGACATTTCAGAAGTGGTACAGGAAAATGACGTCTTTATTCTACAGGGTGTTAGGTAAATGGGTATATGAGCTGACACTAGCCCACGTTAACATGGTCATATAAATGGTATGGTGAAGTCAGAAATTTGATATCATCCTTTTATTTTTTTTAATTTTCATACAAAATTAATATTATAAAATCCGATTTGTATGAAAAATAAAATAATTAAAATGAAGATATCAATTTTCTAACTTCACCATACCATTTATATGACCATGTTAACATGGGCTAGTGTCGGTTCATATACCGATTTACTTTACCTAACACCCTGTATATACTTAATTAATTATAAATAGGTTTTACTTTTATCTACATCCAATCCATGTTACTTCATTTGTTTTTATCGATGTTCATTTGTTTTTGTTTTTTGGCCAAATTCAAGAAAAGCTAGTCCTCTTGGTCACGTGTACAATTTAAGTTGGTTGGGTTTTACGGTCAAGGGTACAGCGGTTAAAATTTATTTACCACTGTACCATCAAGGGAACAGCCAAGGGTACACAGGAAAATAAGGGGGAAAATAAGGGAAAGGATCCGCCCTTATCCATTCCCCTTGGGGGGTGAGAGAGAATTTTAGTGTGAATGCCAAACTGGTAGAATAGTATGTACTAGTAGACGTCATTGTTGCAAAACAGGAAAAAAATATTTTCATGTATTTCAATGATAGAATGGTGAAAATCCTATAGCAGAACAATTTGTTACTACTGTGGATTTTAGTGTTCAGATTTTTGAACTGCTACTGTGTACCTACCTACCTTTAGAACCTAAGCAATCTAGGTACTGTAATATTGTATTTTTTGGTACTTGTTTGAAAAGAAAAACTGTTGTGAACAGTTTGCTTGCCAATCTGTCTTGGTCTTTTAAATATTAAAAAAAAGTAGGAGGCTATACTGGATGAAAAACGCTCAGTGGATTATGTTTGTATCATTTATTCGCCCTAAAAATGTACAATACAGATGCCGACATCCTCGAACAGGTTAATTCCACCAAAAAAGTCGATGACGATACACACACGCAAATACGCAGACACTGGCTTCAAAAATATCATCACCGGCTTTCCCGTGTCACTATAACATGATTAATAACAAGTCTACAATAATCAGGTGTTTGAAATAACTTTAGAATCGTTAAATGTTTACGTACAACATTTTATTTGCAGATTTCCTTTATACTACATAATTAAATAAATTGCATTCCAGATGACGCACTGGCAAGTGTAACACTGTACACATCAGTCCTTGCATCACTAGGTGAGGTTCCACACATTTGATTCCTTGGCCGCCCACTAGGTAGTATACACTGAAACCTCTATGATGGATGGCAGTAGTGTTCTTAAAAGTAATTGGCTTAGAAAGCGAAGAGCAGCAGGAAGGCCATCATAAGACAGAAGAGTCCCATAGCCTCGGACAGGGCGAAGCCCAGGATGGCGTATGAGAACAGCTGCTGCTTGAGGGAGGGGTTCCTGGCGTAGCCAATGATCAGGGAACCAAACACTGTTCCGATACCCGCACCTGGAATAAGCACAGTACTAATCAGTCCAATGTGTTCCACTAACAATAATATCTTGAAGTAAAACTTTATGTTGTAAATGTGACATGGCCAGGCCAGACAATTTTGATGTAGGGAAATTATGATTGCTGAAATAGTAAGTAAGTAATAAATATTTCAATGACAAAGTAGATAGGTATCCTAATATGCAACAAAAAAAAAATTTAAGAGATACTGGGAGTTTGAAAAAAAAATTGAATTAAAATGGGGCAAAACAATAACTAGCTAAAAGTAAAAATATAATTTATGCAAAACAATAATTATTCTGTAAATACTAAATAAATGCCACTATAGGGAGATATTTTTAGATAGTGCTGAATGAGCAATTTTATTTATTTAGTATTTACAAAAATGTTAGTAACTACCACAAGCTAACTACAAAAAAATGTGCAGCATAATCTCACCTGTGCTGTGTAGTAAAGTAAGGTGTCTTCATGACAAAATTATAGGAAAGTTAATAAAATTGCATGTAAAAACATGCAACATATAAAAGCTAGAAGATGCCATGTCCACAATAGCGAATATACACTGTACATAAATCTTGATTATAAAAAAATAGTCTAAAAGGCAAATAACATTAAGAACGCAATCATCAAACAGAACAGGCCCATAGCTTCAGACAGTGCAAATCCCAAGATCGCATATGAGAATATTTGTTGCTTGAGTGAGGGATTGCGCGCATATCCGATGATCAGACATCCAAACACCACACCGATACCAATGCCTGCAGGTAACATACACAAGGTTAACATAAAGCATGCGGGTTAATAAGCGTAATAAAATGAAAAAGGTTATTTTTATTGCATAAAAATTGTATGAGAAATTTTATTCTTAAACCATATTAATTTATTCACCAAAACAGTAGGCAGAAAAAATTTATTTAGCTTAGTAAAATTTTAATTGTACTCAGTTTAAAGTGAATCTTTACAACTTAAGTGTTACATGGAATCCCAAATTATTTCTCACTGATAAGAATGATTGGTGAAATTAATTAGTTAAAAACTAATTCCTTCCAACATGTTAGTTATGCAATCACAAATAACCTTTTTAGTGTAAATGTGAGAAACAGCCTTTATTTGTTTCAGATAATAGGGCATCCCAATCCATTTCTAGAAAAATGAAGCTTGTGTGAGATGTTATGCAACCTCAATGGGAGGTGCCTAGTGCAGTTATTGATTTTTAAGTAACAGTCAAAATTAACTAAAGAAGCAAGTAAAGGCTGAGTGAAATAGCCCAGGGACTAGTTTTATAGGTTAGAAAACAAAAAAGACAGCACAACAAAAAAGAAAAAGAATTTAGCGCAAACTTATGTAACAGAAAGTGTGGAAACTTACCGGAACCAGCTACTCCTACTGTCGCTGCACCGGCACCGATGAATTTGGCGGCGGAGTCAATGTCCTTGGTGACAGAGGTGGTCTGGAAGGAACGCACTGCTGACAGCTGATTGGGAGCAGCGCTCACAATCTGTGTCTGGGAGGGCACTGCTGCCAGTGGCCTGACGATGGCTGTGTTGCTGAAGATCTGGAAATATTCAATCGGATATTGATTCTCTTGTTGCAAAACTCCTTATCTCAAGTCTGTAGGCTGACATAAAACCGCAGTAGCTATTTGAACATAAAGTAATCACTCATTTATTGATCTCTATGACCTTTACACAGTATCACAACTTAAGACTGATTTATGAGGTTAGCTTCCATAATTATGTAACAATCAACTTGAAGGTTCGAAATCATATAAAACCAAAAGTCTGAAGTAAGTCTTGATAAAACCTATTCATATGAAGACTAGGAACTGCAGTACCGGTATTGATCTGATGAAGACCTGATAAGCAACTAACTTCAAAGTTATGAACTTATTGAAATAGATGCAGGAATGTTAAAATTTAGGTAAATTGAAGTTAATCCTCCTGTAATAAATCAAATCAAATTAGAATACTGATGATACTTACAGCAGACCTGGCTGCGGGGGCGATCAGTCTGGCGGCAGACAGCATTTTGTGTTAATTTAGGTGCGGCGAGCGACAACTGAAAGAAACCGTTTCGCAGGTGAGTAAGTCGGATACTGTTAGTAGTTTTCAGGCACCGAGAAGTTCAAGTACTAGTCTGACAATTTGACCGACGAACCGCAAAGGTTACGTAATTTACAGGCTACGTAACAGAGACCGAGGGAGGCTACTATACACACGTAAGTTATGATACTCGGACTGTTATCAATGATAATGAAATTCTACACACGAGAGATGGAATTGTTACCGCTTGATGATTTATTTTGTGAAGATAGAAAATGGCCGTTCCGACGAGCCGATTACGTTTGAAGTTGGAAGGGTATTCCTGTGATAACTTACGGTTTCACAAATAAATATTCGCACTGTCACTCACTCTATGCCTGTATGAATCGATATTATCACTTAATTTTCTATGATGGCTTATAATTTGAACACTTTTTCACGATTGGTTTTATTCACAGAATTTTTACCGCACTTACCAAAGAACACCGAAAGGGAGGAGACCGGCCTTTGGAATGTTCAATTTCTGACAGTAGTGAAGTGAAACAGAACGCACATCACGAGTTCCTATTGGTCTAGACGTCGCGATGTTCCGTTTGGTGCAGCCAACTATTGATCGCTCTGCGCAAATGACAGATACATTATATACTTTTATATGTAAAGCGACTTCATATGTGTTACCTAAGGAATATGTACATAGTAAAAATCATAAAAACATTTAAAAAAACTATTTGAAGTAAGTGCTTTCCTATTAATTTTTATTTTAGTTCGCAAGATAACACAAAATTGTGCATTTGGTATAGACTTGTGATTGACTAGTAACATCACCCTGAGACGACATGGCCGTCTTCATGATAAACATCTGTAAATTCAATGGCTGTGGCATAACATTCCCAAGACTGGCGGAACTAATTGAACATATAGAAGATGTACATATCGGTATGTATCATAAATTTGTATAAACATCATTGTATTGTTCTTATTTTGGACTTGAAATGTAATCCATGTCCTTGTTAATGTACGCCTTATCAATTCGGCAATGTTGTCAGCACTGATTGCTGCTATTGTACAAGTGCGGGAAATTTTAGAAAGTTCTAAAAAACATTTTTACATTTTAATTTAAGTAGGTAGTTACTGTTGTGTGTGTATTTAATTATTTAAACTTACATTTAAAAAATTAAAGACGAGGTCTGACGTAATGTGTTAGGCAATTAGCACGATGCGATGCATATTTACTATGCATCATGATTCATCGCACTCTGCTGACGCGCTGTTATGAGTATAAAAGCGTAATCAATATCTTAATAAGCTTTTATTTAATGTACTTACTTACTCGATGTATTTTTCAAATAAGGGTTTTAGTACTCAATAGGAATGGAAAAGACATAGAATAAAAATACTATTTTTTTGTTTAAGAATTCTTATTTTTGATATTGATTTATTCTGCTAACCATATTAATTATCATTTTCATTCTTCTAGACTATGACCCAGCAGTAGTGGAGCAGAAGGAAGCTTCCCAGCCAGCATGTATCCCCCTGAGCTACGTGCTACGTTTCTTCACAGAGGCGTCGAAGCGCGAGATCCACACTTTGCCGCCAGTCCCGGATATCCGCCGACGGCTGCTCTCAGCTCCAAACACACCATCTGTACGGAGCAGCACACCTACTGGTATGATTCTGAATTCAAAATTGATGCAGGCCATTTAAAATAAAAATATCACAAATCTCAGATATACCGTCTGCTCTGTGCCAATGCAATGACCTTGTGAGACTTAGAATGTGCAGTACAGATCTCATTGCGCTCTCTTGGTTTTACTATGTTATGATACTAGCTTTTAGTCGCAGCTTCGCCTGCGTGAATTTTGATCTGTAGCAGAAAGACCGTATAGTGCACCACGTGTCCAAATAATCGAGCTAAAATCTATCCTGTTTTTCCCTTTACTTTACTTCATTTAAATAGGTTCAGTGATTTAAGCTATCAAAAAAGTTGTAGTCACTTCACTAAGAATATTTTATGTGCTTGAAATCGCGCGATATCAGTCACCTATTGTCGATATTGCCGTTTTCAGGGAGCGAAGTGGACGAAGAGGAGCTTATGAGTCCCTCTGAAGACAGCAATGATTCTTGGACCACCGTTGAAGAATACAGCTCGGAGTACATACTGCGATATGGCGTCAAGTATGTACTCATTTAGTTTAACTTGTATTTCACTAGTATATTATTATAATCCTGACCTGAAATTAATATTCATTGCCATTTCATACAATTAATATTTATGAATGTGCTAAGAATAAAAATAAATCTGCATACAGAAATACAAGGCATTCGGCCTTCTGAAACGGAAATTCCATTTACTTTGCACTTTCGTTCAGTTGGCAACATTGGAATTCAGAGACGGATTAAGGGACTGTATATTATAGTGGGGCCCCATGAATATTAAAAATTATGCAGGATTTGTTATTATTTTTATACGAATATATTTTTTATGTCATTTAAATGAGAATAATGTGTTTAAAATTGCTTTATTTTATCTTAAACAAATACTTTCCAGAATGAATGCAAGTGCGTCTTCTGGTGCATTGGGCCCGGCCGCTCAAGAGAAGCCGTTTGCTTGTCCAGTGCCTGGCTGCAAGAAGCGATACAAAAATGTCAACGGAATTAAATACCATTCCAAGAACGGTCACAAAAAGGATGGCAAGTAAGTAAATTATTTTTTTATACACGTATAAAAGCTTAGAAAATATTATTGTCACATTGTATTACTTTTATTCGTATGCCGATGAGAATGATTGCTGTGTCACAAATTACAAATACATGATAATTAGATCCAGTGGTAGGTGACTGACACTACCGTAATATGATTGGTGAATCACGAATAAATTACTTATATTTGTCGTGTAATGCAGCATCATATTAACATTTATTTAAGCGCTTATCATTCTTGTTATAGACTTAAAACTAGATTAAGTAACTGCTGTGCTATTTTCTGGAGATAAAAATGGTCTCTTTTGTTTTTTACTTTCCTAAAACCAAATGCGCTTATCGATTTCTATTATTTTTGATAGAAAATACCCCGTACTACCAACCCCCGATCAATACAATAAAAAGTTTATCCCCGGTCCAAAGAAGCGATTAACAACTCAAGAATATTTTTGGAAGAAATGGGTATATTTCATATTTTTTGGATCGTGTAGTTCATAAAGTTTAGCGTAACTAGAATGTTCTTTGAAACCAATAATTGATTTAGTTTTGTAAGTCGTTCATCGTTAATAGAAGTAGCATCCGTCGAGTTGTTGTTTGCGATTAGACATACCTACATCGTTATAATAATAAATGAGCGTATTAGCAATAAAAAGTTTACCTACTTAACGTGAAATTAATGATTGCCTAATAATTTTACAGGGTAAAAAAGGGTTACAAATGCCAATGCGGCAAAAGTTACAAAACGGCCCAAGGGCTTAAGAGCCATTCGATAACGCAGCACATCGCCACCAGCGCCAGTAGCGTCGCCAGCGTCAGCGCCAGCCAGCCGCCGCCGGAGCCCGCTCCTCGCCTGGGCACGCGGCTGCCCGGGCTCGTGGTCACGGCCGCGCCCGGCCGCCCGCTCAATGTCGTCGACAGCATCGACGGTAACAAACTAGTCCGCATCTATGACAGCATCAAGACCAAAGATCTACCGTCGTTCACCATACCAAAGCACAGCCTCACCAGCCTCAACATCGTCGGCGCTAACCAGGGCTTCCGCCATTCGGGCATCCTCACTCCTAACTCCACGCCGGGCTCGAGCCCGGTCGACAAAATGAAGGCCGCCTCTCCGAGGGTGACCGTTCAGAACGCTCTGCCTCCCCCGCCCACTTATGTCAACGATATCTCCAATTAAACTTTCACGCTTCGCCGAGATTGAGTTTTGACGGCATGCCTGAACGAATTTATAACTCACTAGATAAGCTATGAACGTAAAGTTCCTATTAAAAAAAGTAAAAAAAAACTCATCTTTAATAAGGCCGGCCAGACATTCGGAACTTTCTTTCCATCCGGAGTTTTCTCAGATTCCGAATGGAAATCTTCTGTACGTGTGTGTCCTTGATTTTGTACTGATTGGCTGTGTTTGGGATCCCGTGTAGAAAAATTCCTCATGAATGTGGTCGGCCTTAATGAATGTTTATTTAAATGTTCGTTTGGAACGCTCGATTACATAGTTTTATATTTTGTACTTATGGTTGCACAAAGTACTCTTTGCACCTCCATCTACCGAGCAAGATGTACTTGTATGCCAATTTTTGTCATAGTTTAAAAATGTTATTTATTTGATTATTTATTTTGTTTTTGTATTACGTTACCTTTAAAAGTTTATTGTGATGATAATGATTTCTAAGAAGATAAACTCAGAATGAGACTGATAGGTATAGCGCCGGACCTTGAACTATGTCGCAACGAATTGTATCCAACGAATACCTTACGTAGGAATTCTTTTGAAAATAAAGACAAAAATCCATAAAAGATTTCATGGTAACAAATACTCACTAAATAATTACTACTATGGTTCAATAATAAAGATCTGGTTGCTTGTTATAAACTCGCATTATATTTAAATTTTAATCGGGTTAACAGCAATAGGTGCTGTGATATGGGCTAGTCATTTTCGTTGGATACAATGGGCAAGTGATGTTGCAATACGACGAGTGTGAGACAAGAATCTTGACGATATAAATGATTATTTCAACGTGTTTTGTTCTGTCAATCTTGTTCTGAATGCTTGGTTTTGGTTAGATATAAAATAATTATGTACTTTGTACACAATTCTAAGTTAACATACGTTTTCTGTCTTCCTTTTTAGTGACTTAAAACTTTCCCATGATTTGGTAAAAATAGCTTCTGAAATCTTAGAAAATTTATTTTGGTATTCGAATATCGACTCACTTACGATCTTTCTTACAGTAAGTGTGTAAATTTTGTGATTTCTTAAAATATTTCTTTAAAAATACTTCTAGGTACCAAGTTACCAACTATTGTGTTGCAAAATGACGGAACTTATGACAGAACTTATAATTGATCCCTCCAACCCTCCTTTTGTGCCATTATTTTATACAAGAAAACTAATGTGTACTTAATATTTCACACATAAATACTTCATTCACAAATTAAAAAAAGTGTAATCTTACGAACATTTACAAAAATGTTAGATTTTATAATTAAGATATAAAAAATTGACAAAAAATATAGAATTTGTCCTAAGTGTCGTATTATGGAACTAGGTTAAATTACATACTCGTAAATGTGATAATAATATAAAAAATTAAAAAAAAAAAGATGCTTTTAAGCAAACACTTGTAAACGTAGAAGTAAGCCCAGCCACGCTGGTATGAATCTTATGTATTATTTTGAGGCATTATTGATTGATAGTGTAAAAGTGTATTTATTTCATGACTTTTAATAACACTAAAAGTCAAAGTGATCGAGAATTCTTGTTTAAAAAACCTAAAAGTGTCTGTACGACGTACGTATCTGCGTTAAAACGTACCTTTGCGTTATCTAAGCTATTATATTATTTGTCGTAGTTACTATTAATAAAAACGACTTAATAACGAGCTTGTTTAAAAAGTATAGAAATTGAATTCGAAAACGCTGCTCAATTTCACTGTTATTTATGTATTTTAATACAATCTAGACTTTTTAAACGTTAAAAATCTGTAAATTGTAATTTGAGGCTGAATTTTTATTAGTGCATAGTGAAATTGCGCAGCTTTATACCAAATGAAGAATGAGGTGCTAAGCTAACAAGGGAAATGGAGCGTAGGACGCGAAGTTGCGTAGGTATAGTCATAATATTGTAGTATCAGTTCCAAAGTTAAGACTCATCAAAAGACGTGTTTTTGAAGTATTCGAATTGAAATTTGTTCGAAAACAACTGTCGGGTATAATGTTTCTGCGATTTCAAACACAATTCGGAATACTAATGATCCAAAATACGTCTCTAAATGGGTATGAGATAAAACAAATAAGGTGGTTTGAAATTATGTAGATTATACCTCTAGAAGAGCGGTGTTCCTACCAAAGAAGAATAAAAGAAAATGTGATAATACGCGTAGATAACTCAAAAGTTTTGGAATTCAGAATTGTTTCCAGCAAATGTTAGGAATTGAATATTTTATTATATTTTTAAAATAATATATTGTATGTTTAATTTAAGATATTTTCTTGTAAAGTATCTAGTTAAAAGTACCTTATTTGTTTTAACTATTAAAAAACTTAAAAGCATCACGCTCATAAGAAAAATTTGTTTCATTGTAATGTTTAGTAACATTTAATTTTTTAATTATTTAGTTGGTATGAAGAGAAATTGTTTTTTGTTTGTTTGGGATATTGTAATTTTCTTTTTTAAATTTGTTTTATAATTTATTGCTTCTGTTTTTCTAAGTATACGTTTGTTGGAATTTAAAGAATATAGCAGGTATTAGTTCGAATTAAAGTTTTACGCTGTAAATATTTAAGTGATATTAAATACTATAAAAGTTTATAATATTTACTCGGTTATTTTTTGTTTAAAAATTTATCGTCTGGAACCAATACAAATATGACTGGAGACGTATATTATTATGCCGATGCTCATTTTAATTTATGTAGTTTGATATACGGGATGTAAGGGAAAGGTTGGCAAAAAGGTGACAGTTGATACTTTGTTTATAAATTGTCGTGACTCAGTAGAATTTTGTCCTGGAAAATGTATGTATGGTATTGTCATTTTTTATATACACATTTTTCACACTGAAAAACTGAAAGGTGAACAAAAATATTTTGCTAAACTGTGCCGTACAGCCTGTATTTCAATGATTTCGTAATTATAATCTAAGACTGATAGTTGGAAATGTGAATGAGCCTATGAAGCTGAACTACTAATGGACCTTAGAAACTACGACGAAATAATTTAAAGGTTTTTCCGGGGCCCCTTTCCGGGGCTTATATTCCTGACTCCGGCCCTGTCGATTTCACGAATTTTCTCTTTTTTCCTAAGGTTCATTGTTGCTTTTAGTTGAAAGCTTGTGTTTGCTAATGTTAATTTTTAATAATTTTATATGTAACCCTCAAAAGACATTGTCATGCTCACAAAAATTAGGTATATGCGTAAATAGATAATAAGTCAGCTTATGGACTTGCACTGTAACACAATGCTATGAGTGTTACGATAATGTGTATTGCATTCTTCTAGACTTTGATTCGGCATACTTAATTACACGTAAACTTTTTCAAGAGCATCATAAGTTTACTTTTTACGGTTTTGTAGATTACCTACAGAGAATGGTATTTACCTACTGAGGAAAAAAGTTTCAAGGTTCTTATAAGGAGTTTAGTGACGTTATTCATTCTAGTCCTTGTTATCTGACGTTTTGTGTGAATTATTTTAAGTTGGTTTAAGGTTTTAAATAATTTATTTGCATGCATCAATTGATTGTCACTGACGAGATTTAAATAATCGTCAATTAAGAGAATTGACCAATTTTCAGAGTTGTCGCGTAGGATTGTAGAGAAACATTTGGAGGAATTTTAAACGAAATTGTATTAGGGAATGTGGAAGATCTATGGATCGTTTGCTATCATTCTTCGTTGTAAATAGAATAATGGAAGGAAACATTGTTTTCCCAACATCTTGCTGACATATAATATGTATACAATAAAATTATAAAAAAATATCCATATTGCGAATGGTTGTGAGAAACGTGCTACACGTTGTGTAGGTATACATTTATGTATGTTGTTTTCCCATAATCTAACTACATTATCAGAATAGAGTAAAGAATATTCTAACAATGAACGAATTAGAATGTTTAAAAATGATAGACGAACATGACCTTATCAGCATATTAATATTATTGGCTGATTTTTGAATGTTTGCTTATGGCTGCTGCATATTAGTTGCTTACCTATTGAATTGCAGATATTTGATATTCAAATTTTTGTCCTAGTCATCCACCACGATAAATGTTTTATACTGCTGAGTTGTCAAAAATAAATTAAAGTTCATGGTAAACGAGATATTTTGTGTTCTAGTAATGACCTGCAATTTTTTAGGTAACCAGCTAATACAAAGTACCTATGCAGATATAGTCGCATATTTTGCGATTTACTCCTATTTAGATTATAAGTCTACTGTGAGTAGATATAGATGCGCTTATTGAAGCGAATTTAAGCTTTTTATGTGTCAGATACTGCTGAATAAATGTTATCGCATAAAGGTAAATACACACTTGCTTGTATCGTGAACTGGTTTCAGATAAGGAATAGAAGCGAGGTATATTAATTGCCTTCTTCTGTTTACATGTCCTATATGTGTATTTACCTTTATACGCATTATATCGATTAATCCATATAAGTTAATAGCGTTTGTAACAAAACCATTGCGGTGTCATACGATTTGACGATGATAGTTTGTGTAAACATCAAGATGTTTGTAATGTTAGGGTCTCAATGTTGTTTTCATGTGAATTTTGTATTTAACTGTATGTTGGTTAACACCCACTCATTTTGTGTCTAAAATTAAATACAACATGGTCGATAACTGGCTTTTATTTCATGAATACGGTTACATAACATTTATTATAGGAAGGTATAAAAGTAAATCACAATATTATTCAATTATTTTTAAAATATATTATTTGCCTGACATAAAGAATATTTGAATAAAGCGATTATTACAGTAAAAGTTATACAGATAACATTTTTTCATTTAAAAATATCTAATACATTATCCGACAGCTAATTTGCTGTGTATCTTTATGTATGTTCTATTTCTTAGCACGCTCAAGCGCGCTGTAGCCTTTGGTTTGACTAATTTCGTATATAAAACTATTTCGAAGTTAGATTGTTATTCACATAAACTGTAAATAATATTTCGCACCGAGATTAGAAAAAACGTAATGAAGGGAATCCTTAACTTCAGTGCATATTCGTAGCATACGTTATTTCCACAACTAGTTGAGGGTCTAAAGTTCTAAACAGATTCCTTTAGGATCTATTTGTCCCTGTTGCTCAGCTCATACCGGCGTCTCGCGTTGAGTGAGAGGGATAGATGGAAAGCCTGGGTTGAAGTCGAAACAAGCGTTTCATCACTAGGCCTTATTAGACTCCCGAGCCATAAGCGTCTAACATACCAGGTATATTAAAATGTATACTTAATTATATTATCACACGGTTCACTTTCTAGTGGCCAGCTGTTCCAATAGGGCGGATATTTTTTCGTGCTTCATCGCGTCTTGTAGAGGGCACTTGTTTTGGACGAACAGTAGCGCGCTCTCGTCTTTTTGGTCGAATGCCACTTGAGCTGCTTCTTCGTAGAAACTGCAAATAAAAGGCATAAGTTTTTTTTTGTTTTGCTTAAAAACATCTGGTATAAAAATGTTTCTTTCTTATATTTGGTATGACTAATTCTGGTCAACCTAAGAACAAATTAATCCTCAAAATAATTTTCTGGCGATTTTTTTCTTGACCCGACAGTCGTGTCATAGCCATTTGAGAATGTTAGCGTGACATAACAGCTGTGTCCTGTAAAATCTGCAAATATTCTTACCCAGCCTTGACGTAGTACTTGACTTTCATGTCTTCCTGGCAGCGAGGTAGATATTTGAACGCTTCGTCAGGCTTTCCATGTTTCAGGCAAGCGTCTACAAAAGGCTCGTATCCTACAGGCGACTTCTTCGACTTGGAGAAACGGTCCAACTCGTCCCAGTCGTTGTTTTCGGCCAGTGTCAGTATTCTTAGCCACCAGTATCTGAAAGTTATTATTTATTTTAACAACGCGACCCTTCCATAGTTTTTGGTTTATGGGACATAAGACGTCACAGTTTGTTAACACAAATGGCATCCCACTTAACATCAGGTGCGATTGTGGTCAAATACCTGCCTTGTTATGCATAAAAAAAAATGGCAAAGATTGAAGCCACTAAACATGAATTTTAAAGCAAATTGACATTAACTGAGCTAGGACCATAATCAAAGACGCGGCAAACGGGGTCATAAATAATAAATAATTTTTGCGATAGGGATGCGCACGCGAAATTTACTGGAACATCGATAAAAGGCAATGAGTGTGAGTCATCGCTTATATGGTCGCAGGCAAAATAAACTACATAAAATGCATGACATGCGCTGTCTCATTTACACGTTTAATTACTGCACCGTCTGCCACGAGTCTTTGCGCAGAATATGTAATATATATTTTTTTAAAAGAAGTTGTGTCTTCCCAATTTTACTTCCTCTCTGCGAACAAAATAAACTTACCGTCTGTCAGGCATTTTATATTCTGCCCTCAGTTTATCCGCCAGCTTGATCTCGCCTTTACATAGTAGTTCTCTGACAGTATCGTGAAGGGAGAGTCCTACGAAGCGCGCGCCGATCAAAGTCTCCTGCAGACTGGACTGTTGCTTGAAGAGCTTGCGGCCGTCTTCGCATATTGACACACCTGAGAATTTGTTCGGTTGTTAGAGATGTATACAAGAAAGTGTCTCTTTTCTATCGACGTAGAAGCCGAAGTAATTAAGTATCGTGTATCGTGGAAATATCTCAAGCGTACACCAAGTAGCAAGAACATAATCAAATACCCTCTGTATGTAATGTTCTGTTTACAGTTTCACACGGTTTTTAGGTAAGTGTTTAAAAAAGGCGGTAGGTAATATAAGTATTATCACCCTCTACACACCTTAAACGTACGTGTCAAGTTTCGTTAGTGCTTTAACATCGTGCCCATCCCAGAATAGTCTGGTGCCCTCCTTCCACTCCCCCAGGATTTTGGGCTACCAATCCGAAGATGACAATTGATAGTAGGTACTCATTCATGAGCTGTCATGACATGTCAGGGGCGAACCCCCCTGAAAAATCACCCTAGATACGCGAATGGGCTCGCGCAGTATTTGAGGTATAACGCGTGCGCTAGCTAAGCTTCGAATGGCGAATTGCAGAGATGTTATTACCGTAACTTACTCAAATCGTCCTTCGCTTTCTTATAGAAGAAATGAGGCTACGGATTCGAAAATGACAGTTGATAGTACTCACTCATGAGCTATGACATGATAGGGGCCTGCCAACCCTTGAAAAATCACCCTAGATACGCCAATGCGCTCGCGCAGTATTTAAGGTATAACGCGTGCGCTAGCTAAGCTTCGAATGGTGAGCTGGAGAGAGAACTTCGAACTCCTGTGCACACCCCAGAATATTCTGCCCCCCCCCCCCTAAATTTTGGGCTACCGATTCGATAATTACAGTTGATAGTACTCACTCATGAGCTATGACATGTTAGGGTCCTGCCAACCCTTGAAAAATCACCCTAGATACGCCAATGCACTCGCGCAGTATTTGAAGTATAGCGCATGCGCTAGCTAAGCTACGAATGGCGAATTGCAGAGATGTTATTACCGTAACTTACTCAAATCGTTCTTCGCTTTCTTATAGAGAAAATGATACGCCAACAGGCTCGCGCAGTATTTGAGGTATGGCGCGTGCGCTAGCTAAGCTTCAAACAGTGAGCTGAGGAGATGTTATGACCATAACTTACCCAAATCGTTCTTCGCTTTCTTGTAGCACTCTCGCGCCGATATTAGCGAGGCCTCCACACTCCCAGGGTTGGATTGCTCGATGGCGTCTCGTATGTGTGTGGCCGCCTGTCCGTAGAAGTCGTCTTCTTGAACGTACACCTTCCGTAGGGCCTCGCGGTTGTGGCTCGCGCAGTATTTGAGGTATAGCGCGTGAGCTAGCGGGAAGCTTCGGATGGTGAGCTGGAAAATTATCGATTATCACTTTTGAGTTAAAAGTAGAAGAAAGGGACTAAGATGATTTTAATTGTTTTTCGCTGAATTATTTACATACGTGAAAGTTGTTCTTGTTACAACAGCGCGGAATAAAGGAGGTCCGTTAGGAGACGAATTAGATCACCCTAGACGCCTAATCCTGTCTCTCGGTTCTATGACTACAACTCTTGTACAGCCAGAATCTACAGTACTTTGGCGACTGAAGAATGAGTAGTCAGAGATAGCTGACTGTCGCAATCAGAAGAATACAGAAGATACGCGATAATTGATCTTGAAAGTATGTACGGTATAGGCGTGTCGTTTTTTAGGCAGTTACGTCCCTAACCACACGATGTTTTTAGTACACTGTAGATAAGTTTATTTAAAAGGTCTGCTAAATAAGCTGACTTCCACTTCTCAGTTGACTCCTCCACGCGTGTAAATGGGTTAAGGGAGAGGGTCCGCTAAATAGGATTTCCATTCCACACCTCGGCTTTGCGAAAAGCATTCATACCACTCTGAAATAGAATAGGGTCTATTCCTTGCTTACCTCGAACTCATGTTTGCCCATCTTCTCCTTAAGAGCTAGCAACACAGCATGTAGCAGATCGGTGTCCCCACTTGCGGCCGCCTTGCGTAGCGCCGCGCCGCCCTCGCCTAATGCCAGAAGTAAAGGCACTTGGAGCTTGCTGCGAGTCTCGTATTCAAGAATCTGTAATGGGAAGGCTTGAATTTTAATGGTTGGATTATAAGGCTTGTTTTTCTGATATGAGGAACACTTGGAATTTTATGAATCATCGTCATTTCGGCCGCAGTACGGCGACGACGATTTTTGAAATCGCCGGTAAGTAGGCATATACGGTCATTTAATCTACTTGCAGGAACACGACTCCCTCTAATTTCTCGGAGGCAAAGAGGGACTTGGCTTACTCTCCTCATGGTGGATAGACTGATCAGACTCACCCCCCAATTGGATATTGGTCATATCAAAGAAAGAAAGAAAGAAACATTTATTGCCATGGACATCACAAAAGACAAAAGATGTAAATAAAAAAAAAGGAAATAAGACAGAGGTGACATAAAACATAGGTACAATGGAAGAGAAAGTAAACTGAGTAGTGCCACCCTGTCGCACCGCGATGCCCATCGCAATGGGACCCCACTCAGTATAAGCCGTGGTCCCCGGTGAGGGAGGCCACGACGCTGGTTTTCAGTGTGCCCCATGCCGAGTGGGAGTCACGAACACTAACCTATACTGCATAAAATATACATACAAAATAATAATAATATCACACCATTTACTTTGCTGAAAATAAATTAGAACCCATCTACCTACATAAGTTAATGTCAACAGATTAGGATAACGGTGATGATCTAACCTTAATAGCGAGGGCCTTCCTGCCTTTCTCGTGAGCCTTCATAGCGATGGTGGCGTAAGATATTCCGGGAACATTCCGCAACTTTTCTCCGATCTCGCGCGCCGCACTCTCGTTGTCTAGGTGCGGTTGGGTCACCTGAATCGTTGAATAAATCATTAATTATCGTACCAGCGAATCGAGACTATAGAAAACGACTGCTGACCCGATCTCATGGGTCATACAGCTTGGTAATGTGCAAATGAAAGGAGTTTAAGGTTTGATAACCACGAATCCGGTCATCACATAAATGTAGGAATGTAAAAGAAAACAAACTTTAACTTTTATTTTTTAATTTCGTTGAAACGTTCAAATAGTGAAACGGTAAAATAAACCGAATGATAGGATTGAATGAAAGGTGAGAGGCTCGCTCTCTCTCGTCCCAACTGCCATGGCGTGCAGGTGTGCTCCGCTAAATTATTGGAAATAAACGGTGTTTTTTCACGAAACTGAAAGCTGAAGTTTCTCTTGAGAACCCCAGCCCTACATAAATCTAATGTCAATAATGGTTACTACCTTTGGTGGAAAATGGTTTATGTCTACCTGTCTATTTTTTGTTGTTTTGAATTTTAAGCTTTTGACTTCATATTATAGAATTGGTGTTAATCTAAGTTTGAATAACAAAATGACGTGATGAATCAATGAAATCCGTGGATCAACATCATCATCATCATTTCAGCCATAGGACGTCCACTGCTGAACATAGGCCTCCCCTACTGGATCAACAATCAAAAGCAAATCCATCAAGTATGCACAGTACAGGATAGACAAAGATGGATTTACTTTAGATCCTGAGTGTCTCGTGAAGGAGTTTGACTATGACTAATAACGTACCTTGTAGCAAGCCCAGTGGGATAACACCCGAGTCCGGCCATCTTTCAGTTGCAGGTAGGAAGCAATGTGTCCCGCCAGGCAATGTAGCCGCCGCCATATTAGTCGATCCAGCAAGATACGCTCGCCTAGGTTGGAAACTCTGGACGATGTTAAGGATTTATGATTGAGAAACAAATTATACACTACGACTATACTTTGCCAAATATTATGGTGATGCAAATAAATATCTGTCAAGTTTTCTTCCACCACTGAGGTCACACTTCTGCAGCGGAAGCCGCTGGGATATAGCGGGCTTGACGCAATCAGACCACCGGCATAACGTCGTATTATTCAAAACCAGGGGCGTCAGCCGTATAAATGATAAAGGCCCTCAGGGTCCCTAGAGCTGGATTAATCATACCATAAGGCAAAGTAGTCAAAGGCAACTTCTAGGGGCTCTACATCGGTTAGGGGCCTTGTGCGATAAAGTAAAATTTTAGGGCAATGCAACAGTTTTTTACATAGGTGAAAAGGGCCCTGGATTCTCTAATAAATTCTACCCTTCCTTCAGTTTTATAAAATCGTTCGTTAGTTCGTTTCAGCCAGATGATGTCTACGGCTGCCACTGCTGGACAAAGGCCTCCCCCAAAGATTTCCATAACGACTGGTCCTGCGCTGCCCGCATCCAGGCTCTTCCCGCGACCTTCACCGGATTGTCTGTCCACCTAGTGGGAGGCCTGCCCATGCTACGTCTTCCAACCCGTGGTCGCCAATATACAATGCATAAAATAAATAAACACATAAAATAAAAATCATAGGTAAATAGTTAGATCCAAGCTGACAAAACTTTTTCAAAAGGATACTGTTTAAAAGTGAGCGGAATAGCCACCTTAGGGTCTCTCACCGCGTTCAAAACCCTCAACCATCTGCAAGTCTTGACGTAGTGTTCCGTCAGTATGGGGTCCACTATGAAGCCTTTGCCAAACTGGGCGGCTCGAATCAACATTTTCTGTATCTCAGGGTTGAATTCGTAGGCTGCCGCGTCTATACAGTTTTGCACAGCATTCGGTAGATCTGGTTTTACTATGCGTATGTACTCGTCCGCTCTGTGACTGCGTTTCTGGAAAAGAATATAACATTTTTATGTTTTTGGACCTTACGCCCGTATTCACAAACATGAGGTCTCATAGTAAGCGTGGACGCACAGGGTGACACACAAACCAATCACAGAGCTCTATTCAGCGCTGTGCGTTCAATTTGCTGCTTCACTTAAGCAAGCATCGTTTGTGAATACGGGCGTTAGACCAAGGTATTGAGGATTGAAATAATAAAATCCAACTTTAAAAATAAAATATCATAATTTAAAGTAATAAAATACCTGCATTTTTCTGACTTTGCTGATTTACAATACGGTTCGACAAATCAACAAAAATGCGACAAAAGCCAACATCACGCGGTGTTCCCAGGCGGTCACCCATCCAAGTACTGACCGCGCCCGATGTTGCTTAACTTCGGTGATCGGACGAGAACCGGTGTTTTCAACGTGGTATGGACGTTGGCATTGGGACGGTCGAAAGTATAATACATTTTATTTCTATCAAGCTTCTACATTTAGAAATACTGTTTAATAATTTCAGCAACCCATTCGCCAACGTCCATACCACGTTGAAAACACCGGTTCTCGTCCGATCACCGAAGTTAAGCAACGTCGGGCGCGGTCAGTACTTGGATGGGTGACCGCCTGGGAACACCGCGTGATGTTGGCTTTTTGCTTTAACTTTGGAACGTTTTCTATTAACAAAAAATCTTTTTTATTGTCGGCGGAATTTTCAGTTTTTTTAGGAGAAAAAAATATGGACTATTTACCTGAAACTGCTTGGAAGCCTCCACCAAATACGACCCAGGAGCTGTGCTGTTGATCCTGAATATCTTGTCGACTTCCACCGGCACTCTCTGCACCAGTTCGTGGCTCATCTCCGAAATGATCCTCACGCAGTCCATCTCTTGGATGATGTGGAATGGACCATCATATGGGTAGGACACGGATTTGCCGTTGAAACCGTAGACGCAGAGCACGTCGTCCCAGTGCGCTATTATGGCTTGGGAGCCGCACCTAGAATTAAATTATTTTGTCTGTATAGGCGCTTTTTCCATCTTGCTAAGTTACAGAAAATGAAGGTATGTAAATAGTTTTTGTATTTTATTGATTTTAAGTTGCCGCCTTTCTGGTTTTGATGATGATGCGCTTCAAAGGAATAAAATGTGACACATTTTATTATGGCAGCTTTTTTTTTATTATGGCTCTCGCGACAGTATTATTCTAAGTATGTTACAAATATTTTGTGTATTTTATTTACTTATGTTTAAAAGTATTTCCAGGTCTTAAACATCTTTTTGATGCTCACTGATTGAGCATAATACAATAAATAACATAAAAAAACACATACCACACCAGCTCTTTGGGTACTTTAATGAAGCCTGTATCTATTTCGCAGTATTTGGCCTTGAAGTCGGAGGACCCGATCCAGAGGCATCCGGAATCCGTGAACAGAGCAACGTGTCTGCCATTTTGGGACGGCACAATGGACAGTATTTGTGTGTAGTGAAGATTCTTTATTTCTGGAAGCTAAAAAGGAAAAAGATGTATATTTATGGCTTTGGAATTCTAAGCCACTAGGCAGCAATGCCCGTTTTCATCATCAATACCTAATTTTTAAGTGACCCCCTTTGAAAACGAAATTCCTGTTGTGTGTTACTATAGGGGTCAATTAAAAATTAGGGATTAATGATGAAAACGGGCATAAGGGAGCCAATCTAAGGGAGGACTGATAACAAAGGTCTGATCCAAATTATGAAATGCTTTGGCTATGTAAATAAACACTTCTCCTCTTCATTTAGTACATTCGCCAATTCGACTGACTTTAATTTAAATTTTAGCTAAGGCTCATTTTACAGTTTACTTATAACAAATTGAATTTTATTGTTCATAATTAAAGAAGAAAAATAACTGATTAAAGTTTTACTTTAAAGGAGTTCCGTCTTGGAATTTTTCATTAATGGATTACCTGGTTTAGTAAGCTACTCATCGGTCAAGTTAAGAATGAACTCTCACCATAAGAACAGCCCTGGTCTCTCCCAGCTGGCACTTGTATATCTCTTTGTCGCGGCACACCAGGAAGCCCACGACTGCCGGTGACCGGACGTAGGATGATAGCACGCACCACGAGCTTATTGGCTCATTGGCTCCTGAAATTGTTTTTATTGAAATACTAGCTGACCCGGCGAACTTTGTTCCGCCTTAATGGCAATAAATAAGCAGACTTTTTTTTTAATTTCGAACGGGATAAAAAGTATCCTATGTCCTTCTCCTGGCTCTAAACTACCTCCCGGACAATTTTCAGCTAAATCGGTTCAGCCGTTCTTGAGTTATAAGCGAAGTAACTAACACTACTTTCTTTTATATATATAGATTTGGTGACAGTGTCTAAATATGTTAACACCCGTATTCACAAATGATGCTTGCTTAAGTGAAGCAGCAATGGTATGCGAAGTCGAACGCACAGCGTTAAATAGAGCTCTGTCATTGGTTAGTGTGTGTCACTCTGCCACTCAAGTACTTACGCCCATATTCACAAACATTACTATGAGGTCTTACAGTGCACGTGGACGCACAGGGTCCCAAAAACCTATTCATAGACAATATCACCCGTATTCCGTATTGAACGCTGTGCGTTCGATTTTCTGATTCACTTAAGCAAGTATTGTTTTAGAATACGGGTGATATTGTCTATGAATAGGTTTTTGGGACCCTGTGCGTCCACGCGCACTGTGAGACCTCATAGTAATGTTTGTGAATACGGGTGTAAGGGTTGTCTTGGGCCACTAATCATTACCAACCATTTTGGACATAAAGTTCGGAAATGAGTAATGGCCCAAGAAACTCGGGAACCTTACCAGATAAATAAATATCTAGATTGTTACTTACTAGGCAAATCCGGCACAGATCTAACTTTGGGGTCGGCGACATTGCTCACTACAAACATACGGTTGGTCGTGGTGATGACGGCTAGCCCAATACCGTGAGGGTTAGAAAAAAGTTGCGCCTTGCTGACCTGAAAAAAGTAGTTTACTCTAGGTAAATAGAGATTTAGAAATACATCAACAATAAACATAATTTTCTCTACTTCTTCTTGTCGTATCGACTACAAACCTATACAGACTGTATACAGTATGACACTATAATACAGTACTAAGAATCCGTTTAGTACGACGTCGCTTATAACGACCGATCGCTTTTAGCGACGCATAATTATGATTTGGTTGGTTGATTTATTGAGAAATAACTTAAAAAATTACTTCTGTAGTACGACGTTCGGATAGTACGATGTAATATCATCGGTCCCTTGAGTGTCGTTATAATCGGATTCTACTGTAGTTATAATACAGTGTCAGCCCAAAACTCCACTACAAGAGTGGCATTGTCAATAGCATTAATAAAATCTTCCTGCGTGCAGTTATTTGGGCACACATAATTTTCTCTAAAGAACCTACATAATTAATTTTAAAATCCACAAACACAAAACACCAACCTTAGTGTCCCTGACCTCCTGCCCCAAATTGAAGGTCTTCTGGTAGGCTCCGAACATGTCGTATATCAGAACGTCCCCGCTTTCCTGCACACACAGTAGCTGCTCGCTGTCCGACCAGCCCATATGTACGAGCACACCGCTGTTCCACTGAAATTTAAAAATAATCAAAATTCTTTATTCCTTTAAAAGGCTTACATAAATACTAATTAACGAAGCCTTTTTTTAGGAGTATAATTGCCTGTGCCAGAAGACAACCCTCTGCATAACTCTTGGAAAGCATAACTATAAGTGTTATAATGTCATTTAATTTTCCACTCAAGATCAACAACATAGTAATATCCTTTAAAATTATTATACTTTTATAAATATGTGTGCTGTAAGAAGTGTAAGGTTGGTGGGTCATTGAAATGTAACAGCAAACTAAGTGTGTTATTCAATACTCAATAATTATTGCAATACCATTTTAGTCTTTCTTTATCATGACGTTAAAATTAGTATGCAACCTTGCAAACAAAACCTACATGTTAAAATCTAAGAATAATGTAAGGTAACATTTTTAAAAACTTAAAAAGTAGGATAATAATTATTGCTATGAGAAAATAGGATGTTGTTAATGTATTAAATAAATATGTAGATAATGGTGTTATTTAGGTTCTAGTATTGTAAAGAATACTAACCAATATTTTAGAGATAACATTCCCGACACAATTGTAGATTGTGATTACTGGTTTGGCCGATGTCACAACTCGCACCAGCAGTTTCCTGTCTCTCACGGTGGCTATCGGGCCTCCGTACTGGGCTCCGCTTACTAGCATGTTCTCCAGACCTTCATCCATTGTCCAGTTCATGGTGTACAGGTCAAATTTCCTAATACAATAAAAAATAGGGTGTTAATTTGATGTCATACTATAATACTTAATCAAGGGGTTGAAATGAAAGTTGTTTCATTGTTTTAGTGTGACTTTATGAGATTAAATAATCTACAATGGGGTGAAGAAGTGACGTACATTGATAAAAAACGAACAACTTGTTCATAGTGGAAGTAATCAATGATTGAGTATTAAACAGACCTGTAATAGGAATCCAGCTGGAACCAGTCCGCAGTTAATAGCGCCGACATTTTGCTCACTCAAATAAACGATATTTAGGCTGGACTTTGCTGATAACGAGCTGTTTTCCTCAATTAATTAACAAATAGTAATTATAGACACCTCATTATGAAATTGATACACTTGGAACCAGCATCCCAATTGTTAAATCACTAGAGTAAGAACTAAGCGTAAACTTCTATTTAAATACACTCTTTTGAATGCTATTTTAAGCGCCTTTTTATTACTAAAATTAAATACAAAATAACATCAATGCAGTGAATCAATGGAATTTGTTTTGACTTTTTTGACGTAAAATCCACTGACAGTGACAGAGAATGTCAAAGTCGTATTGTTTTTTATCACCTTCATACTAGCACAAGCATTTAAAATATTCATCCCTCTTGTTTATTATTTTAGAATATTAATTATTAGAAGCAGTTCTGCACCCTCTGATTTTGGTTAATACCAGCACAGTAGGTATAATTTATATGAGCTAAAGGTCTATAAAAATACAAAATCTTGTTTGCTACTTTCGAAATGAATTGCTAATCGTACGTAGCCATCGTCTTTGCAAACAAGCGCAAACCATGGACCTATACCTACATAATATAAAAAGTTCATGGAGCAAACCTGAGCAAACCAATAATTTATAGGGTAAGGATGGGTAAATGGGTTGCCTTTAACCCAGATACTCCTGAAACTTTTTATCCTTGTCAATTTTTATAAATTTTTAGTATGTTTCTAAATAGAGGTCAAGTATCTACAGAAAAATATTAGAAAAATTCTTGGTCAACTGGAAAAGCCGGAAAATGGGTGGTGTTTTAACACCTGGTCGGAGAATGGACTACTACTACGAGAAAAAATTATACTATGATTTTGTTAGGTTTAAGAGTTAAAAACGAGTTGTAAGTTATACACATTTATTTAAAAAATACCAAAATCTTATTCAGAGGAGGTAGGAGGATGGTGGAGACATAAATCATAACCCAGGATACTTTAGTACGTAGCGCATTTTTTACACCAAATTGATTTTTTCTTGCAAATTTTACATGTCAGTTGCATGTAGTACTCGTAAGTACAGTAGTACATACATAGGGATGTAAGCTCCGTAGACCCTGGTTGTGGCGCCATTCTTCATAAATATTGTTTCGAGTATAACTGCTTTGCCATGTATATTTTAGACATTTTGGCACAAACTTTAACAGAAGGTACTTGCACTATATTGCATTGTTGTAATAATTGTGATTGCGGTAGGTACTTTCATGGCAGAAGAACTAGCTGCATTGGAGGCATCATTAGATTCATTTCGTCTTACTTTAAAAAATTCAGAAAGCGGGATGTTATCCTCTTTGTCTGAAGAAGACTTGTCGTACTGTACTTCTGCCTCGGCTCTAAGTTGAGAACCTGGTAATTCACGAAAAATAGTAATAGAAAACTTACACGCTATAAGTAACTATAGTTAGATAAACGGAAGCAGGCTAACCTGGAAGATTTTGTAAGGTAACGTGGTCTTCTTCACCAGAATCTTCATCTGTTGCTTCTGCATTAGCATTTTCTGGTGGTAAAATTGCTATGTAATTCGGTATCTGATCATCGTCGTCAATGTTTTCTAATATTTCCACTATTTCGTGAAGTCTCAGCGGTCTTTTATATCGTGGCCTAAACTTTTAATGAATATACAAGTTAGACGTCGATTATGCGACCAGGTGTTAAAACACCGATCGTAATTTTGTCATAAAAAGTCTCAAAAATGTAAAGCTTTTCAAAAACATAAGTTTATAGTTTTGTAGCTAACAGTAGTACCTAAAATAATAACTAGTATAATCTGAGGTATTACTAGCAAGTTTATGAAATATCTTAGCTTTTATAAGACGTTTTTGCACAAAACTAAACAACAGTATTCAAAATAGTAAAATACTAACAAAATAAAGCAAATATGCGATATCGAACATACTCAATTACAGCTTGATTCGTAATGAAGAGAAAATACAAGGAACAGTAAATAAATTCTCGATATTTTTATAATTTATCTGAGGATATTCCGAACTACTTTTTAGCGGTGTTATAACACCTGGTAGGAGTAAGTGGGTTAAAGTTTAAATCTAGTAGGTAAATAAAATATGTAGGACGTAACTAAATAAAACTTTTTTATAACAATAAAGTGTAATTTAATGTGATTTGAGCACTTAGTTAGAGCTGCTTACCTCAGTAAACCTGACCAACTAAAATTAAAAATAAACTGATCGAGGCTATGGGACCCTAAGCCCATTACGCGAAGAAGCCAGTTTATTATTTTCGCATGGATGACTGCTAGCCATTTTCTCACGACTCGTCTTGTCCATGTAGACTATTATGTAGTGGCTGGAATTTGCATTCCTAATGACAATGCTGCTGTCTCCCTCGAAGGCATACGAAGAAAAAAGAACAAAAGATAAAACGTAGCGTCTTCGCTTTTATTTAAGTTTTTTAAGAAATAATTGCACCTTATTTATAACGCAGTAGAGCCACAGGTAGAGCTTTCATTTTCATGATCAAGAAAAAAATTTACAAATTAATTAAAGTCCATACCTTTAGATCGACTATTTATGATCAGAAACGCAAAATAATTAAATGATACATGATGTAACTAAATCCCGATTCCCGATAAACAAGTAGGTACCTACTACTAAGTATACGGGGTGTTTCTTGTAAGGTGTCAAGCCGAAGGCAGATGATAGGTGAGGACCACCTATCGATTCCACCCCCATGTACGAGTATGTTCTACGATTTTTCGTAGTTTAGAAGTTATCGTTAATTTGTAACTTTTTAAAAATTCATGACCTAGCGCCTAGTAGGCTTTAATATTTTTTATCATTTTTCGGATTTAATTTTGTTAGATTGTTCGTAAAACATACATAGGCTTCGGCTTGACACCTTTCAGGAAACATCCTGTATTTCTATCCAAATCGCTTTGAACCGGCCGTGGTCGGTGCTCTGACTGTATGGTTATGGAATCTATGATTAAAGAAATATTATCCCGAAGAAAGCGCTGCCTATTAAATTTTTTAAAACATTAATTACCACTTTTGCATGGAGAAACTAAATGAAAATTCGTTAAGCCAACGGTCTCTAATTCGGGTAAACTCCTAGTTTAGAGTTGACTCCATCAATCTTTTCTAACTCCCTAAGGCGTTTTGCTAAACATGTCTGTCTAAGAAGGTACCGAGCAAAGTTATATTATTCTCCCATTCTATTGTATTAAATAAAAGGTGTCAGGGGCACTGGCTCCTGCAGATCCATCATTCTACCAGCTTGCGTACCAGCAAAATAAGGAAAACCTAATCTAATGTACAGTCACCTGCAAAAATACAGTTGTGTTAATAAATGAGACAGTCAGTTTGAAATACTTTTCAGGTCAACAAGTCTGGCTAGGAGGACCTTAATTCGATGAATGAGAGAGCTACTTAATCCCTGCATTTTTTTTACCATAATACATTAGCAAGATAATACACCTAACAAGACTAAGTAAGTTTTTGTATGTAACTAGGTAGGTACTTTCGATTGGTTTGATTCGATATTTTTTACGATAGAAAAGGGGGTTGTAGGATATTTGGGAGAGGAATGGGATAGGGTACCTTCGATGTAGCAGACTCCGCAGGACGGTTCAAAAGTTTGGTCATTCTTTTCTTCTTTTCAGAGGTAGCGTTGATGATGTCAAACTGGCTATTATTCTGACCCTAACTGTACCTATGTAGATCCCTCGAAGTTATTTTGATATACGACCCGAAACAGTTCACAAGCTTTGGTCAGCAAAGTTAGTTTGTAGAAACTTCCACTCTTACAAAGGTAAAGTTCATACGAGTAAATATGGTAATAGTGGATATTTAGTTTATGAACTCGCTTATGAAAGCTAGACACGAACTTTAATGGTAGGTAGTTCGTCCATAATATCTACATGGTCTTATATAAAAAGGTTTTACTAAACAGTTGGAAAGGATTAAAGAAAAAACATGTTACTAAAGCTCACATTAATGATTCAGACATACTACACAAATTTTCTTACACTCAGAAAATGTGTTTTTTCCGGTCGGTGTAGCTGTTGAGATGGCAAAAGCGAAGAAATTCAGCAATACAATTTGCCTCAATAAATAAAGAATATCTTAAGTGCAAAAATGGTAAGGGGTAAACAGTACAAATATTTCTTGGAAAGAAAGATATTGAAGTTTCCATAAAAATACATTCTTGACTTGACAGATTTCGATTAACTTTTCTGCTCATGTAAATGGAATTTATAATGCTACATATCAAAGGGTAGAGGTGGATAAAGAGAAATATAACGAAATGTCAACTTTATTTGGATTTCTTTTATGTGTTGATAAGTGATCCAGAAAATAAATAAGATTGGGAAGGCTTCCTTTGCCTTTGAAAGTGCGGGTAGAGTCGTAAAGGGCCCTTAGCAAGTTGAGCCTTGTTAATAACTTCTGCGTTAAAGATATGTGAGTGTTGTTACACCAATTTGTTGGAGCCTCGTAAAGTTTTGTTGCGAGATGCCAATCTACTTAGTGCTAGCCTTCGGATCTGGATCATAAAATTTTTATTCCTGGCATTGGGATCAATATAACTTAGTTATAGGATCATAAATCACATGTTTATATCATAATTTATACCACAGCTTTTAATTTAGAGCCGCTGTACCTAAATGCGACAGTAAAAGCAATTTATTTTATATTACTGTAATTAATATAATATTATGTATATTCGCAAAATTATGACGCGTCAATAAGTCCTACTAATTGAGAGACGAGCAAGTGAGAAGAGGAGAGTAATTAATAATTGCTAATGAGAAACATAATATTATTGCCTGAGTACGTCGACAGCACATATGACTATACATTTTTGTTGGAAAATAGCCTTTATAGCAATGAGGTAAGACGCCACTTTGTTTAGCTTAATATGCTGTTCTCCGTACAACGATATTGAATACATCGACTTGCGTGACGGTTCCCGTAATGTAAATGTAGAGTCACAAGCACTTAATTTTAACAATTGCTTGTAGTAAATAAAAACCTATTTAATTTATGCATGTCACATTATAAATAAGGTGTCTTTAAAGCAATTATTTGTCACGTATTCTCACTTATGGAATAATTGTTCGTAAACAGAATATTAATTAACGTGCGGCCTTTTTAATAAGGTGCTGCCTTAACAGCTTAACATGTCAATAAAGTGATTTATACTTAATTTATTTTCAGTAGATTTCGATACCTTATCAAGTAAGAGAAAACTAAAGTGTATAATGTTGTTTTTTGATTAAAAATGTTTTCTGA